TTCATGCGGAATGTTTCATGGTCTTGAAAGAGACCCAGCACTGCGAGCATCTGAGCTACTGCGGCGGAGATGAGAAGCAAATCCACCGTGGTGCGAATGGCCACACTCGCCATTTGACCTGCAAGCAATGCGACAAGACTGTGATTTGTGGCCGTCGCCGCGAAGCTGTCCAAATGTGGTCATACCTCGTGCAGGTGGCTTTGTGCACGAAGTTTGGCAGCAAGCTCAGATCGACTTTGATTTATCGGATCTGCTCCAGCGGACTCACAAAGATGCTGGAGGACAAAGACAAGCAGAAGGCTCTTGGCCATGTTGCGTCCCCTGGCAGCCCTGGATGGAGTGTGATTCCATCTGAAGCTGACTCCAGTCAGTTAGGCCAACGTGGCTATCCTGATGTGCCACGACTTCCAGCTCGGAAGACAGCAACCATTGTGAGGTCGCCTGAGACCCAATGCTGGCTCTTTGGTGTGCTGCTCGCTCCAGGTGTCGATTTGCCGCCGTTTCCGGAGCTGAAGCCTGAGGATTTGGATGTTTTGCAGCCCTTGCCAGGTGACGACACTGTGATGCCTGAAGGACCATTTCGTGGCTACAAGTTTGTGGACATAGCCACCAACTTTGAGTCCGAGCCCTACTGCAAGCAAGTGATGCACATCGCACTCAACCTTGAGCCCATGTCACCACCTGTTTTTAGGCTTGCTTCGTACTTGTATGTTAGGTTGCAAATTGCCTGGCAAGCTGGTGTCAAGCTCAGCGGAACTGGTCAGGTTCTACCTGCTGGCAAACGTCCTTTCAGCCCTGAGGACATGTTGACAAGCCGGACCATCAAGGTTCCCCTGCAGCTGGATTACTATGATCCGAGCTCTCTCAAGGTTCATGAGTGCGAAGTGATGATGGTTGATGAAGACCTCAACCTTGAGTCCTATGCCGTGCAGCCTGCAGACCCACCTGGTCTTGCCATACTGGACTCTGGGTGCAACCGCACCATGCACGGCGAAGAATGGGCCAAAGCCTATGAAGAGAAGCTCGCTGAACTTGGACTTCAACCTTCAATCCGAAACAAGACCCAGCTGTTCAAGGGGATTGGAGGACATGCTGAGTCCAAGGTCGTCAAGGCCTACCCTGTTGGACTTGGTGGAGTCAATGGCGAGCTCCACTCAGCAGAAACACCAGGAAAAACACCAATGCTGATTTCACGTCCTTTCATGCAAACCCTCGGCACAATCATCAACCTTGGCGAGGGGACGGTTTCCTTTTCCAAGCTCAACATCAGAGATCTTCCTTTGAAGAGAACCAGCCGTGGCCATTTAGCCATCTCTCTCTTGGATTTTGATTTGAACACTATGTCAGTTTTTGACGAGCTGGTCAAAGGATATGATGAGTTTGATGTCAATGCGGCAGAAACTGAGGCCTTGGACTTGGCTCCTGGATTTGAGCCGGCCTCTGAGGCTATTGGACTTCCTGCTCTTGGACTTGAGCAAGCCTCCGAGACCTTGGATTTGGCTCCTGGACTTGAGCCGGTCTCGCCGCCAAGTGATGCCCTCAGCCACAACGACGGACTTGATCCTGACACCAGGCGCGAGTCACAAGATGCCTGGGATGTCGTTTTTGGCATCGATGAAGCTGAGTTAGAAAGGGTCATGAATCAGCATCATGAAGGTTTTCACTGCGAGAGCACAGATGTTTTTCTGGAAGAGATTGAAAAGGGTTTCTTTTCAGTTCGAAAGCCCAGCAGCCGAAAAGCCAAAAAGATTGCTGCGATGGACACCGCACTTTGCGGGATGGATGCTTTGGTTTCCAATCAGCTCAAGATGCAGCAAGCCTCAAAGGCTGCCAGAAAGCCCCCAACCGGAAAACCATGGCTCAAACAAGTTTTTGCTGGACAGATGGGTTTGACCATTTTGGCAGTTTTCCATGGTATGGTTTTTGGTATCCCTCGCGACATCTCCTTGGACGGCTGGGACGCTTTGACTCCTGCTGGAAGGCGTCAGCTTCACCAAGACTTCCAACAGGAAGATCCCTTTTGCACTGTGCTGACGCAGCCGTGCGGTCCATGGGGAAATTGGTCGAGGTTCAACATCTCCAAGGGTGGCAGCGCTTCTGTCACCGTCCTTCAACTGCGAGAAGATGGTCGTCCCTTGCTGAAAGTTGTTAACAAGACCATCAAGGATAGACTCCGTGCCAACAGGCACATCTTCATGGAACAACCTCTGGGGTCACAAGTCCTTGATGAACCTGAAATGGCAGATGTTAGAAAGTTGGTTGAGGACGGCACTTTGCTGTTCATCGTGGTTGACGGCTGCATGGTTGGCTACAAAGGCTCCGTCACCGGATTGCCCAACAAGAAGCCTTCCTTTTACATCACATCAATGTTGTGTGCTGAGAGCATTTTTGCAACATGCCGATGTGATCATAGCCATGAACATCAACCACTTGAGGGCAACAATGAGTTTGGCCCCAGAACCACTCAAGCTGCAGCATGGCCTTCCGAGCTCAACCAGATGGTTTTGGATTGCATCATCCAACAAGCCGCCATTGAGGAGCACCTCGCTGATGAGATCTATGCTGGTGATGCTCAGCGCCGTCCTGCGAGCGGTCTCTCTGGGAGATCTCCCAAGCGCCGCAGACAGGGTCGAATGGCAACGATCTCAAGCCCAGCTCCACCAGTTTATGTGCGACCACAAGGAGCTGAAGCACCTCAACCAGTTGGCGAACTTGGTGATCTACCTCCAGATGATGACTCATCCTTTCGAGCTCAACAAGCTGCAGCACTGGACCCAATCCTCAACCAGACAGAAGCTGATCGCCGACATCAATGGCTTCAAGTGGATCCTGAGATTCGCAAGTTGCTCAGAACCTTGCATGTCAATTTTGGACATCCAACCTCAACAACAATGCAGAGAATCCTGCGACGTCAGGGGGCAAAGCCGGAAGTCGTCCGAGCCGCTGGACTTATGGTCTGTGACGCTTGTGGTGAATCAATCCGGCAGAAACGTCCCAAGCCTGTGAGAATGCCATCGGCCTATGTGTTCAACCAGCACATCCTTGCCGACACCTTCTATGCCAAGAACAGCCAAGGCAAAAGTTTAGCCTTCCTCAACATCCTTTGCGATGCAACTGGGTTTCAAGTGGTTTCTTGCCTTGGAGAACTGACTGGGACGCCATCATCTGGCATTGTGCTCCGTCACTTTTTGACTTCATGGTCATCTTGGGCTGGACTTCCCCATTCTCTCCAAGTTGACCGTGGCAAGGAGTACATGGCTCAGTTCTCAGACTACCTGAAGCAGTATGGTGTCGAGCAGCAAGTGATTCCTCTTGAATCACCTTGGCAGAATGGAAAATGCGAACGTGCTGGTGGCCTTTGGAAAGAAGTCTGGGCCAAGACAGTTGTTGATGTTGATGTTTCAACACTTGCAGATGCAATCACTGCCGCGTCAATTGTGACGCAAACCAGGAATGCCTTTCCACGCACCAATGGGTACTCGCCCAACCAGTGGGTACTTGGCCATCCTGAGACCCGCCTTCCAGGCAGCCTTCTCAGTTCAGATGAGAGCCAACAACTTGAAGTTCTCGAAGCAGCTGAAAACCCCCACAGTGAAATGGCAAAGACTTTGGCCATCTGTGAAGCTGCTCGAGTGGCTCAGATTCGTTTAGATTCAGATAGCCGTGTGAGGCGAGCACTGTTGAGAAAGAGTACACCAACACGTGGACCTTTTCCCATTGGATCCTACGTGTACTTTTACAGGCGCCAGCCTCAGCAACGGCAACAAGATGGCCGACCTTACAACTGGTATGGACCTGCGAGAGTCATTGGACTTGAACTTCGCAATCCACGCCGCACTGAGGACGGCGATCCAGCCACTGATGGCTCAGCCCCAAGCAGCTATTGGCTCCGCTATGGTCCCAGCGTGATTTTGGCCTCTGGTGAACAATTGAGGTTTGCAAGTGAAGATGAGCTTTTGGCAGCTCACTATGTGCCCCACTATGCCGTGGAGCAGGGAAGCGACCGTGGAGCCCGCAACTATGTTGACATCCGCAACCAGCTTCAGCAACCAATGCTTCAGCTGCAGGGGGGTGGTGTCAACGCCGATTTTTGGCGAACTTTTCCAGATGGACGAGTTGTTCGGGTCCACAACGTTCCCAGAAAAGCACTTTATGTTCCTGATGCTTGCCCAGTACCACTTGACCAACTCCAAGATGAACGAGTGACTGAGGCCATTTATGAGGCTGAGATGCGTGATCACGTCCTCACGGACACCATCACCGACAACTGGCGTCAAGACCTTGGACGCGAACTTGTGGCCAAATGGGTTGGCGAAACAATTTTCAGGACAACACCAACTCCAGCCTTGGCAAGTTCCTCAGCTCGGCCTGCATCAGGACAATTTGTGTCCCAACCTGCAATGCCTGCGATTCCTGAAGAACGACCAACAGCCTTCGATGATCCGCCTCCAGATGCAGAGCAAGAGATAAGGACGGGCGATGTGCCTTTGCAACAACAGCAGCAGCAGCAGCAAAGCCATGCTGGCCATATGAGACAGGTGACCGAGCAAGAACCTGATCCTGGTCCGCAGACCCCAAGGGATCAACAACCTCCTCAACAACCTGCTCCTGTTGCTCCCTTCATTGCTCAGCTTCACCAAGCGATGCGGAATCCACAACGACTTGATGGGCATCCTGGTGGAAGCTATGGACTACCTCGAACAGCACCAGAACCAAGCTATGGTCCTCAAGGTGGAGGTGCCAGAGTTTTCACTGGGCCTTATCTTGGAGAAGCTGTCCAAGAGAATGATTGGCCTGCTGGATGCGAAGATCTATCTGACCGACTTGCTCATCGACGTCTGGCTGATGCGTCAGAGCACACTGACGATTCCATGTCTGATGACTCCACATGCTACGAGGAGAATCCCAAGCTAGAAGCGTTCCTGACTGGCAAGGCAGTTCGGTCCGAGATCGACCTCAACGACCTTTCAGTAGAAGACCGTGCCAAGTTTGACCAGTCCATGGAGAAGGAGTGGAACTCTTTCAAGAAGTTTAGCGCTGTGGAGATCCTCTCAGAAAGCCAGATCGCAGCTCTTCCTCAAGACGCTGAGATTGTGAACACGCGATGGGTTCACACTGACAAGAACCAGAAGCCGCGCTTGATGGCTGGTGCAATGCGGCGACGCACTGGGAAGTCTGAAGCTCAGATCAAGAAGGAGTACCCCTTCGAAGCCAAATCCAGAATGGTTGTCATTGGCTGCCAGGAGAAGGACACTGGCATCAGATCTGACTCTCCCACTGCATCACTCCTGGCCTTCAATTTTGTGACTTGTTTGTCAGTTATTTTTCAGTGGATTTTGGAAGCGTATGATGCGAGCACAGCATATCTCCAATCTCAAGGAATAGCACGTCTCCTGCTTCTCCGTCCTCCTCGACCACCACCTCCTGGAGTTTCCCCACATGACTTGCTGCGTGCGAAAGGCAGCATTTACGGCACGCGAGATGCTGGCCGTAGCTGGTGGAAGAAACTTTTCAAAGCTCTCCAGCGACTTGGCTGGGTGATGTCAAAATTGGAAGCTGCACTGTTTTACCTTTTTGACTCTGAAGTTTTGGTTGGTGCGCTCGTAGCCCATGTGGATGACCTTTATTCCACTGGCACCGGAAAGAAGTATGAGGAGTCCTTGAAAGTTTTGGAGAAAGAGATTTATTTGAAGAGGAAAGTTGGTGATTTTCGTTTTTGTGGAAAGAATGTGAAACAAAACCAAGATGGATCTGTTTCTTTGGACCAGATCGACGCAATTGAGAGTTTGGAATATATGGTTTTGCAGAAGAACAGGCGCGTCATGCCGAATGCGCCGTTGAATGAGGATGAGAAGTCAGCCTTCAGAGGGCTGATTGGTTCACTTGGATGGATTGCCCGTCAGACCAGACCTGACGTGCTTGTGAACGTTTCCCTGGCATCCCAAACAATGGGAAATCCGACGATCAAGGATGTCGTGGAGCTTAACAAGGTTGTCAAGGTTCTAAAGGAGAGCTATGACTTCAAGTGGAACTTTGTCCCAAGCTCCAACCTCACTCTGGAGAATGCCGTGGTGTTTTGCATGGCTGACAGCAGTTTCGCAAACACGACCAAGCTGCGAAGCCAATGTGGCTATGTGGTTGGTCTGACCACTGCTGACTTCACCTCCGGCTATGACACGCCGGTGATGATACTGGAGGCTTACAGCGGAAGCATCAAGCGTGTTTGTCGCAGCACTTTGGCTGCAGAAACAAACGGGTTCCTCACCGCGACCGAGGCCGCCGACTATGTGAGGATGCTCTTGCTGGAAGTGAAGCATCCAGGCGTTTCCATGGTTGACTTGGATAGGTTTTACCTGAAGGGCCTGCTCATCGCGTTGACTGACGCGAAGTCCTTGGAAGCCACTCTGAACAAGGATGCTGGCCAGCCTGCTGATAAGCGAGTGAAAATACTTGTCAGCCAAGTGAAAGAGTTTCTTGGCGGCGACAGCTATGAAGATGATGGTTCAGTACGCTGCCATTGGTGTGACACATCGCAGATGCTAGCCGACGTTTTGACGAAAGCTGGATGTGAAAGAGAACCTCTTTTGGATGCGATGACCACTGGAAAATGGCGCCTGAAACCAAGCGCCGAAGCCGAAGAAACCAAACAGAAGATCCGAGATGGAAGGAGACGCAGAAAAGCTGAGAAGCAATACTCTGCTGCAGGTGAGGACGGGTGTGAAACTGCATGTGAAACAGCAGTGACATAGCATTCCACCTTTGCAGCATTCAGTCTTGCAGACATTCCATGCGCATCCCAGAGCGCTCTTTTGCCCAAAGAAAAAGGTGCCTCACTTCCCGCACGCCGCTGCCGGGATTTTGAATATATGTATTTACGTATAGCCTCTCACACTCCAATGGTCCGGAACAATACCAGCTACGAAGCCCCTTCGTTCCATACGTCCGGAACACCACGGAACGTTCCATACACAATTTTGACTCACAGCCATATGAATTCGGATACATGTTTGGTACCGGTTGCCCTCTGGTAAACTAACATAGCGAACTGGAAAATCCCGAATGTTAATAGACAAATCAACTATTTCTATAGCCATGTTCAATAGCAATCTGATAAATTACCAGAGGGTAAATCCTATGAACATACCATTCATCCTCCACTAAACCACCATTTTCAGAGGGGTTGAAACCATCAACCAGCTCTCATTGTCATAACTTGTCCCTAAAAATCCATGCTGGAGGTGGCCGAAAACCTGGATGGCTCCTTGCGAGAAGTGGATGTAGCCTCCCAGGCCCGAAAATCCAGATGTTGGCCTTGAAGGGTGACCAGGCTTAAGGGTGATTTCATGGTGATTTCAATGGAAATTGACTGAGATGTGAATGGATTATTGAATAGATTTTAAGCGTGATTTATGGTGATTTCATGGATTTGAACATCAAAAATGAATAAACACACGCGAGGTAACCCGCATATTTAGGGTTGAACATGATTGAACCATCAAGCATTGTGGCGTTCCAACCGGTGAAGGTCACTTTTGTATACTTTTGTACCTTGATATGGTTGCTGTTTGCATAAACAAATGAGGATATGTAACTATAGCACAAAATAGTGTGTAGGATTTCCAGTTTTGCCATGATTTAGTGGTGGATCTATTTTGAATTTTACCCCCAGGAATGATGCCAGTGGACAGTGAAGTTTTCTTTTAGGAGCTGCCACACATGATCCGCTGAGGGTTGATCGGCCATCATTTTCCAAAGACACCACCATGATAAGTAAACAGACTGGACACATTGTAGTTATATCATGTTATATCCCACTGTTCATCATTGGCTATTGGAACCGCAGTGCAAATGTGAAAAATTGATAAAAATGGGTTATAAATATCGACTTGCTTAAGTCACATCACCATTGATGCGCATCAATGAGATGACTTTGCATTTCTAAACCCCTTCCCCTGCTGGTGTTTTGAAATTAATTGTCAGGGCCAGAGCATTATCCCAGGATTTCACGCCATTTGTGGGTGTCAGTATTGTATTGATGTTTGATCCCCACTCCTCATCCTTTGCCATTGCGAATAGACACTCATTTCCAAATCCTATATGACCAATATATGACCAATGTGTGCCTGTGGTTGATGATGTTTTCTCTATTTTTCTCTTGCTGTTGTGCCATGTTCCTATTGCCATTTTGGTAAGTTCACTCCCTAGCTCTGCTGTCATGGCGGTTTTTCAGGAGTCTAGCCATGCCAAGACCAGCTTCAATGAGGAAATCGGGGGCCGAAGTGGCCCGAAGGTGCTTGTATCAGATGCAGAGCTGTCAATTTTCTCGGAAAACCTTGGGAAAACCTGATGTAATGTGCTAGAGTTGCTATGGAAGCCATCAAATTAGATGGCTCTCATTTTCCATATGTTGCCAGAGGGTAAACCTTGGTGAAGGGGAGTTGAATGCTTTCAGATTGATGTAATAGGGATTAAAGTATCCACTGCAACAGCAGGGGGGCCCGACCCCCCTAAGTACTCTAAACTGACTCCTATAATTACTTTCTTCGAGTGATCCCCACCCTGATCCATTATTCTGACATAGTTTCTGACATACCATCTGGAAAGTCATTCTTTCTGGCATATACTCTGACCTCCTTTCTGGCATTCTATCTGGCATCTATTCTGACATACCTTCTGGCATATATTCTGACATTCTGACATTCTTTCTGGCATTCTATCTGGTATATCTTCGGAGGTTCTCTGTGGTTGAGGTCCGGCGGGGAACATTCTGATCCGGGGCTCGCGGTTGAGGTCCGCGGGGAACACTTTGATCAGGAGCTTGCGCTGGAGGTCCGGCGGGGAACACTCTGATCCGAAATTTGCGAGGTCCGGCGGGGGGAATCACTTTGATCCAGAGGTTGCTGTTCGGGTCCGGCGGGGAACGCTGAGATCTAGAGCTTGCAGTGGAGGTCCGGCGGGGAACACTTTGCTCCAGAGGTTGCTGATCGGGTCCGGGGGAACATTGCGATCTAGCGCTTGCAGTTGAGGTCCGCGGAGGAGGAGGCGGAGGAGCAGGAGGCGGGAGGCGGGAGGCGGGCGGGACAGCTGACATAAAATCTAACAACCTTCACCTGACAGGTCAGGAAAAACGGTCGATCGTCATAGTTCCAAACAGACCATGGGTTAACAAAAACAGCCTTCGAGGATATGTTTGGAGCGCTGGGCGGATAGCAAAAAATACCAAAATCATCTAAAATCCATATTAGTGGTCCAAGTGCCATTTTTGGACATGTTGACTCATACTCATGTTGGGAGGTAGAGGAGGACTTCCCTTGAAATGATCGAAACGGTACATGAGGACTGCGCTACATCTATTTTACGATGCGAAAAGACAATGGTTGCCCATGGCATGCAGGAAGACAATGTGAAAGTAGAGGGGATTCCGAGTTTGTCTAAAAATGATTAATATAATACACCCCCAAATAACAATTTTATTTGAATGGTAAAAGGATGATTATATAAGCAGTAGATTTTGGGTTGTCCTATTTTCAGGCGAGCCCGGCGGGTTTCCGAATGTTTCCGAGTAGCGGAACTCTTTGCCCACCTCAGCGCAAAAATTGAAGACATGGGAGAAAAAAACAAAAGATACAAAAGAACCTTGGAAATACAGTACCCAGTGGACATTTCATACCATTTCATACTCATTGATATACATTGTATCTACTGCTTTAGTGGTCACCGTGTCACCAATCCAATATGCACATTAGGGATCTCAATGGAACATCGCATGTTTCCCTGAATCACCTCAAGTGTAGGCTCCCGGCTACAAAAACTCATCCGTCCCATGGCCCCATCGAATGGGCCAAGGATCTGCCCAAAAGAGGGGACCCAAATCATCGTCGATGTCGGAGCCATCTGAAAAATAGGGCAATATGGTTTATCAATGTAAATCATTATCGTCTCAGTAAGATTGGGAGGGGAAAACCGTTTTTTTCCAGACACGCCACTGTGTCCAAAGTAAATGACCCGACCTACTCAGTGCTACAATGGTCAGGTGAAATCAAAATTTGTGGGCCTGCGCTAAAAGTGAGTCCACGCCCCAGCCACAGGGAGAAACTGGTTTGCAGTGCCATGGTGCGATTCGGAACAGTTCCAGAATGGATAAGGAGAATTCGGAAAATTCTCACCGAAAAGTTGTTTTTATGTTGTTTTGTAATCCAGAAACACAACCTTGTTTGTTTGTGTTGACTGTTTTTTTGTCTGTTTTTGTTGGCTGAGGGTTGTTAGATTTTATCAGAGCGCTCTTCCTCCGCGTCCTCGTCCTCCTCCTTCTCCTCCTCCTCCTCGACTAGCTGTCCTCTTCCTCCTCGTCCTCCTCCTCGCCTCCTCCTCCAGTTTCTCCTCGACCATGTCTGCATCAACTTCCACCTGCACTTCCGCCTTGCCAACTCTTCGCCAAGCTCTTTGCCAACTCTCTTCGCCGACTCTCTGCGCCAAGCTCTTTGCCAACTTCCCAGCTCAGTGTGCACCGCTGGACCTCAACCTGCGAGCTGCCCAGCTCAGCGTGCACTGCTGGACCTCAACCTGGGAGCTGCCCAGCTCAGTGTGCACCGCTGGACCTCAACCTGGGAGCTGCCCAGCTCAGTGTGCATCGCCGGACCTCAACCGGGGACCTGCCCAGCTCAGTGTGCACCTCGCCCTCAACCTGGGACCTGCCCAGCTCAGTGTGCACCGCTTGACCCTCAACGGCCAGAGAATTCCAGAAGATATGCCAGTGGAATTCAGATAGAATGCAAAGATTGCCAGAAAGATATGCCCGAAGAATATAGCCAGATAGAATGTCCCGATCGAATCCAGAAAATATGCGCAGATAGAATGCCAGAAGGTATCCCGATAGAATGCCAGATAAACTGTCAGATGAATGCCAGAAAGATATGCCATAATAAAGTGCCAGAATGTTTTGCCAGATAGAATTCCAAGAGGATTTGACCAGATAATATGGCCAGAAGATATGCCAGATAGAATGCCAGATAGAATGACGGAAGATATGCCAGAACATATGCCAGAAGATATGCCAGGTAGAATGCCAGAAGATATGCCATGTAGAATGCCAGAAGATATGCCAGATAAAGTGCCAGAATGTTTGCCAGATAGAATGCCAGAAGATTTGCCAAATATTATGCCAGAAGATATGCCAGATAGAATGCCCGATAGAATGCCAGAAGATATGCCAGGTAGAATGCCACAAGAAGGCCAGCTAGAATGCCAGAAGGTATGCCAGATAGAATGCCAGATAAAATGTCAGATAGAATGCCAGAAGATTTGCCAGTAACAAAATGTATAAATGTCGTGGTGGGGATCACACGAAGTAAAGTAATTGATTGTTTTTGTTTCTGTTTTCGTTCATAAATAGCATGTTGGTTGCTCAGTTGCAGCTAGTCCGCCACAAGAACTGCATAGAATCTGTTCCAGTAGCCTAGCATGGGATGCCAGAAACCGTGGTTTGATATTGGATTTCTTCATGTATCGGGCTCCGATTTGCTATGGGTTACCATGGGTTATCATTCGCAGCATGGCTGATTGTGATCAAACCCTTGGTCTACGCAGACATCCTCTGATATACTTTCACCTATGGTTGCTACTCCCCCTATTAAACACCCCCCAAAGAAACCTTGACTTCGGTTTCGATTTCTTCATTCGCCGTACCCATATGGGAGGTATTTAATATACGTAACAACTGTAGTTATAAATCACCATTTCAGGATGGTTATATGTATAATGTTATATAAACATGGTTAACCCAGGTTGAAGTCCCAATTGTTCATGGTTAAGCCAGCATTTGTTAGATGGACCCCCGTTTGTTGAACCCGTCAGCCGTTACAGGGCCCCAGTTGCACCACAAATTCCCGCGAAAAAGCCAAGGCGCAGCTGACCAAAGGCGTCACAAGATGTGATGTCCAAAGGGGTTTCAAGATGTGGGCGTGTCTGAAAACGGGTTCTACCTAGACACTACCTTGACCATCCTTGACTCACCCATTAAAAAAGTGTTCTACCCCTGTGGTTTTGGGACTTGTACCAATGCCTTGATGAGGTACTTTAAGTGTTTTGGTACACGTAAAACACAATCTTAATCAGAAATCACGATGATTAATTAACCAATATTTACCATCGATTTTTGGAGGTTTGCCCCTAAATTTTCAGACAAACCCGCGTGACACACGCAGCAAAGACCGTGCGAAAAGGCTTTGAGATGTCCACCTGGTGGATGGGTCAAAAGCGGTAGATTTCACCGTCTAAAATGAGCAATGGATGGGATTGTAATGGGGTTACAATATGTTACAATGGGGTTATCATGGGTTTGAATGGGACTATGATCATTTTTCTGGGATTTGGAATTACTGAAAATAAAGCCTCTGATGGTATGGTTTCTGAACTATAGTTCTTTCACAGTTCATCCGGGCCTAGGACCTGTTGCACCAACGTGGCACCACCTTTCGAGGACTTGTTGCACCAATATCCTAACGAGGGCAACCAGATTTTAAAGAGGACATGGAGAGAAAGGTTTTAATGTATCCCGAAGTCTTTTTCAACACAATATGGGAAAATATGGGAAGATGATTGTTTTTCTATAGGATAGCAGATAGCATGGGATAGCCACAAACGGATTCTATGTTGGAGATTTCTTGGGGAGACCGGACCTTTTGTGGTGTATGTTTGCTCCTGAAGAGGCCCAGAATCCTTTCATTTCGGTACTATAAGACTGGTTGCCTTGGATTGGTCCCCAAACATCCGTAAGCTAGGACCTGCTAGGAAATAGTGGCTCACTGATTGGCATGTAGCAGGGGCTCCTTAGCAGTTCTGTTTCCTGGGATTGTCTTGAATAGCATGCGTAGGCCTTCATCTGATGTTTTTCTTCCATGGTCCTGCGATACGACTTGGATACTGCATAGAATTCAGCATGCACCCTCTGGCTGCGGCGTCGCAGCATCATTCTGAAGTTACGATCCACAAACTCCGTTGTTTTTTTTCAAGTTAAAGTGGATGAGCAGCACTGGAAAAGAGTCCAAATGATAGATGGTTCAGATTGGCCAGCAAAATGACTCAAAATGACCAGCAGATTGGTAGATCCATCCGTCATGATCTTTGACCCCACCTGCGCATGACGAGCCTCGATTCTTCGGCGACTGGTGGTTGTCCCAAAACGGATGAACATGAGGAATGCCATTTATGGCCATGTCAATGTAGGAATGATCGTCGAGCATGAGATTTTTGGATGCCCTACTTTCAGTCAGTCAAACACAGACAAATCATTGAAATTGATCAAACGAGCTAAACAAGACATGGCGTTTTGCCACGTGATTTGCTTCCCATATGAATTGAACATAATAATACAGTGACCCTGGTGCCAGTCAATTGCCCCCTCAAGTCCAGGTCCGACTTTTGGAACGTAGTTTGACTTGAGTTCAGTTGTTGGGATGGAAGAAAACACAAACAACCAAAACATCAAGAAAATGATCCAAAACAGTGCGGTCTCATGATCCAGCCCGGCAGATGAGGCAATGAATGGGCTTTGGTTGGACTGGGGAGAGCAAAGCATGACACTTCATGAATTTTCTACCGATGCTCACCGCAAACACTGGGATTTTCAGTCAGTCAAACCCTTTTGGTGGTTTCAAGCATCTTTATAAATTGCAGTAAAGTTTAGTCAGTGTATTGTGATCTCATGTAAAAATTGAAGGATCAGACGGTCATGTTGGACTTTTCTAAGCCGGACCATGTTGGGCTCCCAAAGATGCAACCTGATCAACCTCACCACTTTCCGCATGGAGAATTGGCCATGAATGGGTGGTATACCATGGTATACCCAATTTTCACGCACATATCTTATTATTGATTATGATTGATTCTATATCATTCTATATCTCATTATCCCATGAAAAAAAACACAGTTTTTCCCCTGCTTGTTTGCTGGTGAAATCCCAATGTTTCATGGTACCTGCCATGATCCAACGGGCAGCTGCCAAAGGCGATGCCGCAGCTTCCGCCAGGAGCTTAGCCCTACTTTTTTCAAGATCTGAACGGCCAGGGTAGGGTTGTTTGACTCATAGCCCATACCCATCCACATGTTTTTCATGTTTTGATGTGCATTAGAATCTTCTAGATACTTTTAGGATGTTTGTTCAAGCCTCTGTGGGCTTGATGCTTCCCAAGGGACTCTGATGCATTTAGAACGGGTTGAAACCACCAACCAGCCGCTGATTGAAGCGCAACACATTCTAAAGTTAATGGTTTATAGAATGCCTAAGATGATTGTTTAAACCCCTTGTATACGGACAATGCTGCTCAGGGTTGTACACACCTGAAGAATATTCGACCAAGCACCTGCAGCGAGAGTAGTCAGTCTGGTTGGAAAGTTTCCGAATTGAAAACTGGCCAATCACATTTGATGACATGATGTACCCATGATACTGAAAGATGGTTATCAAGCAACTGCTTTTGATCCATCGTCTAAGTGGTTTATCAGCTAGCAATCACCGGTTCTTCTGCTTAACACCCCCAATTTTTTCAGCTTCTGACTGGGATGAAGCTCCAAGCTCCTTGGGGTCTAGTTCTTGTGCCGACCACTGTAGGATTGCCTTGTGCCTTGTTGGTGACTGGGGCAGCTTATTGCCGGTCCAGTCTGAATGCATGTGCTTTTACAGGCGGCAGGGAACAGGTGCTGAGGTTTAGGCCCAGTATACATCCCGTATGGATAGTGCTACCAAATTTTTCCCCTGCTTTCAACTTGGAATTAGTAATCAACAATATATGTCACAAAATGTGTACTTACTGAACAACATATATATATAGTATATCTATATATATATATAGTATATCTATATATATATAGTATATCTATATATATAGTATATATATATATAGTGTATATATATATAGTATATATATATATAGTATATATATATATATATATGTTATCATAATATGATTAGGAAATGCCCTCCGTTCAATACCCCCCGTTATCCCCCCGTTCAATACCTCCCGTTCAATACCCCCGTTCAATACCCTATTGAACAGAAGGCTGCCGCATATCCACCGGGGACCGGGGGTTTTGATTCACAGCCATATATATACACATGATTAAATATATATATATATATGTATATCTGAGAGGTTAGCATCGCCTGCGTTGGGAAAACCAACAAAAACGCTGTGTTGGGACCAAGTTTTGGTCCATCCAATGAAGGCAGTTTCTGATAATTCTGATATATCTATGTGTAATGTTTTTAAATGGTGACTCCAGCAACAAGAATGCAGACGTTGAGGCCAATTCTAATTGATGGATAGAGCTTGAAGTGGAAACTGCACCCGAAGATGTGTGAGTTCAGGTTGCCATGGCGTACCCAATTTTGGAGCGACTTTTCACTTTCTCAATGTTGGTTACTTTACCCAATTTTTGTGCTGGTGACTTTCTCAGTGTTGTTTGATGAATGTTGGTTAGCGATGCCTGCTTACTGGTGGTCATAATGTGACATTTTGCAAAGTTGCACGAATGTGTGTGTGTGTGTGTGTGTCTATTTGTATATAACTATATAAACTAGTATTTCACAGAGAGAGAGAGAGAGGGAGGGAGATCGTATAGATACTCGTATATTAAATGATTCATGATTCCTTGATTCATATGCATATTGATAGACAATTTGCCCTGTAAATTCTGCGTATCAACTCATTCAGTGTTTTAGTTGTATTATATAGTTGTATATAAATTGAATTAGTGAGCTACAGCCAGGGGGCTGTGCCCAACTGAGCTTGACATTTGACAGGTTGGGGTCCTTCACAATTGAAGGCAGGGGCTCGTCGGGGTATCCGGGGTGAAATGAGAAAACAAACCTGTTGGAAGCATAGCCCACTTTACACGTATACGACGTGTATATATATATATTATATATATATATTATATATATATATATATGTGCGTATGTATATTATATATATGCATATGTATATTATATATAAGTAGATAATGACATCATTATTTATATATTGTGCAATTTTACATGTATGCATTTGTGCGTGCATGCATGCATGCATACATCCATACATCCATGCATCCCTGCACCCATGCCTCCAATATCCAATGGTTGATCAAGATTTTCCCCTATCACAATTAACATTTGATGGTACCCTCTATTTTCGGACGCCCACGTATGAGCCTCCTAGAATGAGCCTTCTGCCTTTTTGTTGGGCCCTGATGATCATCTGATGAGCTCCCTGTCCTGGTGAGCTTTTGGGCTCCAGAAAGTCAACTAGGTCCCATGATGCATTTGACACATCCTAGAGAACCCAGCATTTCACTATCGTAAACAGCTGTATAGCCCACCACCCAACATCAAAGCAGCTGCCCAAGTCTACAATTTCAAGATGGCAAAAAACATTCAAGCAAATTCCAACAGCAACAATTTCCCAGATCAACATCAACGTGCCAACATTCCCCAGTCTTCCACCACATTTTCCACCATTTTCCACCGTTGCGTTGCATGTTGCTTCCACATGGCCGTCTAACCCTTGCCCCGTGGCCCTTCACCCAGCGCCCCCTTGCCGTGTCGCACGGCCGGGCTCCAGCGCGGTACCGTCACCGCGGGGCAGCGGCCTTGGTGGCCATGGCTGCAGTGACGCGGCGCGCGCGGAAAGTGGCGGTGGTGGGGGGGTGGTCCGGCAGGACTGGCTGCCGCTTGGCGGTTTTCGTTGTGGTTTCATGGGAATTTCGTGGGATAAGTGGATAATATAGTATATGTATGTATATGTTTTATATTTAATTATATATAATATAATATGTATTATATATATATATATATATGTATGTATTATATCTAATACGTATGAAATATATAACATTAAATATATACGTATGTATATCTGTAAATTCAAACATATGATTTTTGGATGTGTCTGAAAAGGAGTGTAATGACCCTAAAATGATACCAGCAGATTGGGGGGTAGCCCATGTTCAGACAATTGTTTTCTCCTGTCTAGATTCTAGATGTGTGTGGTGGTGTTTTTGCAATTTCGTTGGGAACTAATGCTGATTAATTTTTAGATTTTGTGAATTTAGGTGACTTGTTGATATTATCCCAAATGGCACAGACATTTTGGCCAATCTACCGTTTCAAGCGATAAGCGGAAATCCAGGGAAATTACTTGATTAGTTCTTGAATCTCGCTTCCAAAGGGGGCTGGAAAGTCCAACATTATTTTTCAGGATGTTGTTTGGGGAAAAATGTTGATCTTTGTATTGACTCCAGGGATGGGTCCATAGCTATGAGACATTGTGGTACCATGGGTTGATGGGAGTGAACTGACGCCTAGAGTTTGCTTCTTATCCCTCACCCTTGAAATGGTCCTTTACCCAAAAAAAAGGTCACTCTGAAGTGCCATTGGACAAGGCTTGTCGATTCCTGGAGAAGTTTGGACATCAGCCCACAGTTTTCGAAATCAGCAGCCACCTGGAGATGAATGTGGGTTATTTTCTTGGGGACACCTGACTTGACGGTTTGTTTTTTCTGATTATGCAATCTACTGTCTCTATATTGTATGGAAGGGCATTAATTATGATTATATACTTTGGGAGGGTTTGCTTAGGATTCTTTGATTGAGACACGTACCCTGGTTCGCAAGCACAACTGCAGGTCTGTCTGTCAAATGTTTCGACTTTCCCGTGCAAAGCCGTGTGCTGTTTGGATCTGTCAATGTCATGGCCAAGTTTGGTGGTAGGAGTTGGATGATTTTGGAAACACAAAGGGCTCAACCCCTCAAGAAATCTCAACAAGTGGATACTAGGTATAGGTGAAAACCCTGGTACCCGGTTGAATGCCAAGCTAGCTTGTAAATCTTGTAACTGGATTGTCATCTACCCAACGATGCTATCATTTTTTTCTGGCATTGATTGAGTAAGAAAGGGATTGATTCCCCTGATATGTCACCGGATGACCTAAGGCTTTGTTTCTCTACAAATAGGGTACCCCTAATTTTTATGGTTGATCTCCAGCTATCGAAATATGTGTCTCTCAGCTAATTTGGGGTGTAGATCCCCATTTTCAGAGACAGATGCTGAGGCGAAGTGGGTGGAATTTGGGCGCCCGAACCGGCCAATGATGTGGTCTACAAGGGCTTGGTCACCAACATTCCCACCATGTGTACCTCGGGGTGTCAGAGTCAGGGGTGGGAGATATGTGGATGATCCATGATGATCCCACCATATCCCATATTTTACCGTAATTTTCGGGTGGTTGTATCATGTTGTACCCATGAGATCCCGGTTTACTGAGGGCTGACGAAGTAGTCTGCGCCTTTTCAGACTGGATGATCCAGGTCGATGTCGGCCTAGATAAAATCTGCCAGGTATGCAGTCGTTTGATCTGGATTTTCCAAGTGGCCTCAATTCCTACATCACTGCACCGCAGCTGGGTGATTACATGATCCAATATGTGGACCATTTCAATCTTCGCCGTTTCTTCCGACGCTCGGTGAACTCCGTGAAGTCCCATTTCTATGAGTCATTCTACCGGAATAAGTATGACACCATATGATATTCTATGATAATATGGATTAATGTGGATTATCCTATGATATTCTATGACCTATGATATCCTATGATTCTCGGTAGCAATATCCTTGCAAAGTTCTACTCGCACCAGCCCAGTTACAACCGATCTACGAATCATGTACGCTTGCAGGTTACCCCCTTCTGACTAGGAGGTACAGAGGTTGATGATGCTTGATGTGGTGTCGAAAACCTAAAATACCAATGGAGGAACATCTATTTGCCAGACAAAAGCGAATATCTCCAGGCAAAGTGAGTATTTTGGCATACAGTATTTTGGACCCATACCATTCCATACCCAATCTGACCCACCCTACCGCTCATCACCGATCCAGGATTCCAGTCGCGCGTGGAGTCTGTAGCCCTCGAAGGCGACGCTTGGAGGGTGACGTCGCGGGCCTTGACGACGACCGAGGCGGTGCAGTCGGAGAGCTTTGACGCCGTGTGCGTGGCGAATGGTCACTGGGATGTGGTGATTTCAGGTCAACCCAGGTTTCATTAACCTTTATGGGGGGAGGTGCCAGTTTTAAGAGATTTTAAGAGTACTTGGGCCCAAGGATTTTGGGGCACCCTGAATGACTTGACCTCATAGACATAAGGAGGCCAGGTGATGGAAATTGGTGATTTCACAATGGATCATGACATGATTTCCATTGTTTCACAGGTTTGCCATGATACATCCCCGCTTGGACCGAAGCCACAAACAAGCCGATACCTCCAGGGGTTCGAATCAATCAGCTTATGACTACGTAACCAACTTTACCTGTCGCGTCTGATCTCCTACCCTCCGTGACAAAGCTAAGAGATGGCAGATTCAGGATGCACTCGGGTTTGTGTGAAAGTTGTGTACCCCCAACTCCACTTGTTCAGATCATCATTCTTCCAATATCTTCCAATTACAATAGCCACAATTGGCCCATAGTCGTCATCATTTTCAGACACACCCACTTCACCGTTGAAGTGAGTGCCATGGTGCCAAATGTCTTACCGGAGGTCACTATGAGTTTCCCTATCTGCCAGAAATTCCGGGAGAAACGGCCTGGCTGGCAGCTGGAGGCTCCAAAGGCTCCGGAGGCTCTAAAGGCTCCGGAGGTCGCAGACGGGTGGTGCATGCTGTGCACTATGACGATCCGGCGCCCTGCTCAGTGGAGCAATGGAGCAATGGAGCACGAAATCCACTGGATTCCACTGGTTTATTCATCTTTGGGGGGTACATAATGGTACAAAAAAACGCCGTTTTCAGACATACACACAAATCCATTTGTTGTTCAGCACCTTTTCTAGGGAGAAGGATCACCTTTGGCGATGTTCATTTTTGCAGAGTGCCACTTTGGATGATTCACCCCCAATCAACAGCTCAACCACCAAGCATAATTTGGGTAGGTGGTTGGCCGGGGAAGGCCTCATTTTGGAAGGCTTCACCGCGCTGAGCCGCGCATTCGATGCCAGGAAGAGTTCCGAGACCAGTCGGTGCTGATTGTCGGCGGTCGCTCCTCTGCTGTGGATGTTGCGCGAGAACTGAAGAGAAGCTGGGACTGGGGGACTGGGCAACATGGAGCCATTGAAAAGACATCTAAAAGATAGGTTTGGTATCCCTTGGTGGTTACTGTGATTATGCACTTATATATCTGGATCTATCAAAAAATACCCTCAGCTCCATGGCGGGCCGCAGGGAAATCCCCGACCTAAATGGGCATTGAAAAGGGAAAATAGAGAATGAACAATATTGGTGATTTTCCATTACCATGTTTGATTACCGGAGGGTACATGGAAAATACCCTTGGTATCCCTTGGTGATTCCGATAAGAGATGTTATGATCTGGTTTGATAGGGGTTGTTACAACTCCCAGAATAGGAATACGTATGAACCAAGCAGAGGGATGGGATGGGGTATTTTCTATGGCTCATTTGATGTACGCCCGAAACATGCACATGGAATGGAAGTCTTTCGTAGTCCTTTTGCTCAATCATAGATTGAACAAAAAGGACATGGTCGAATGCACAGGTTTTTCATGGTGACTGGAACAGGTTGGAAACACCAACTAAACAAAGAAAAACTACCATGATTTTCATATCTCAACTGGTCTATTCCATTCCCATGCATAATTTTTGCCAGGGCCATTCTGCTCCCAATCTTAGATTCAGTGAAAAACAACTCCCAACCAAGTCTTTTGACTACGTCCATCCCCATCTTCTGCTGGCGACTACCCCAGCATGACCCAACCCACTGAAGACGGCTGGCTCTAAGACTCTAAAATCTATAATCTTGAACAGGTTATGGTCCAAAATTCAGATTCCGACATCATGGACCCAGAGATGTTTGATCATGTTGAGTACAGTCACCATCCATTTTTTGGGCCAACTTTGGAACCTTGGAATAGATTTGGGATAGGGAGGAGCATGAGATGTTCCCAAAACGGAGCGGCCCAAACCTAATGAATTGGGCTGTCCTTTTGTTAGCGGCCTCAGGCATAACTCGATGCCTCTATGTCTTGGAAAGTGGCTGCCGAGATATCAGCAGGGAAGATCACTGTTGTCGCATTCCCATGGGTTCCAGCCTAAATCCGGATGGAACTCTGAGTTATGATGGTCAACAGATGCTTGCACACCTTGGGATGGCGTTTGGGTGAAGTCAATGAGATATCATGATTAAACCGAGCCCAATAGAGTACAACGAAAGAAACTCTTGCAACATATCCTGGGCTGTGTTTCTTTGGAAAACGACATCCCCAAGTCCCAAATGTCCAAGGTCTGGCGAGCCCACACCCATTGCGATACCAAGGATTGCTGGCGAAGCTGTTGACACAGTCATCCTCGCCACAGGCGCGACATTCAGCATCCGCTCCTACACATCCTATGATTACAATTGATTACACATACATACATAATCAATCATAATCATATATATACATACATATGTATATATATATACTGTATATTATATATATACATTATACACTATATAAATAACATTGATTATTTTCGGAAAAGAACAGGATAGGTTCAGGCTATAGTTAAAAACTCTGTCTTTTATAGACAAACAACAGCCTAAATGAAAGGAATAAACAGAGAAACCTCAGGGAGGCTGGAGATTTCCATGCAGGTTACACCTACAGATATCCCTTTCTGGACGAAGAGGGCCTGGGACTGGACTTTGGTCCTACGAGACGATATGTGGCGCCCCTGTACCAGCACGTGATCCATGCCAAGCATGACAGCAGCTTGACGTTGCGGGATGGTGATCCCTTGATGAAAAAGGATTCATTCAAACCCAGATATACCCAGTATATCCGATAGTCGTAGATCCCATTATATTATACGGATTCCGGTCCCCTTATGCATGTGTGTGTTACAAATGTGTTGAAGATATGCGAACATATATATATATGAAACATATTGAAACATTATGAAATAATGTTACATGTCAACTTGTATTAAATGGGTTCCTTCCCTTTAAAATGATTCATGTGAGTGGTGTAGATTTAAAACAGATCAGCAACTTGGTCCCACGAACACCAGCCAACACTGAAGTTCAGCCTGCAAAGCCTGAGGTGGAGCCAAGGGATTTTGCCCAGGGCCAGTGGATATGCAGGGCATTTCTTTCTTTTCGCGCTTCCAAAGCCGATCCCTTTAAGATAAGATATAGAAGAATATAGAAGAATTATTTGTGATTCATGGCCCCACTTTTCTTTAGCAGATGTGTTTGACAACGGATAATATCTTTGAAATTGCAATTTGACTGGGAATGTGATGATAAACCGGTGGATTTGGCAGTATACTCCATTCTTGGACAAACCCATGCGATCCAAACAGCGATCAACAAAAATGCGTGTCCCACCTATCTCCCTATCATACACTGGTTACTGTGTATACATATACAGTATATCACACTTTTTATACCCAAGATTTCTCATGGATTTCTCCATCCCCCATTTTTTTTATTTCATCCACATGAAAAAACATATGCCAATCCCAGCCCCCCATGGTTCAGTATTGGATCTATTCAAATCATGTGGCCACGCTGAGGCCTGTGCTTCATGGGGGTCCCGCTGGCAGTCCCTTGTCCTCTTCCTCTCTTCGAGGCCGGTGGGGGATGACGCCAGTGGATGGAGGGTTTTTTCTCCGCAAGAATTGGTGTTTAACATTGTTTAACCTACAGCATCGGGGATTTAGATGGTGGTTACTAACTTGCTGGGAAGGTGGAGCGTTTTGGGGCTGATTCTGTTGGATCTGTTGGATTGGTATCTTAATGATCATTGTTGGATAGATATTGGATATTCATTCAATGACATTGATGCTTACTTCGAGGATCATCCCACTAATTGTAACTGGTAAGTCGGGATATAGGCCACTTGTAAATGGGATAGCCCCAATTAGGGAACTTATTAACCAAGGTTATTAAGCCATATTTAGCCCTGCCTTTGATACTGTGCTTGCATGCCGGTGCGATCAACAGGTGCAAGTCTCTCATTTTTTGGACCCATAGCGTGTCTTACCATTATATCCCCTTTACATCCCCTATATATTCCCATGATATACGCCCTTGATATCCCTATATCATAAATATATAACTACATATTAAATATATGTGTATATATATATATATATATACATATATATATATATCAAACCTGCTATTTGGGGTATACCTGGTGATGTTTTTTTGGGACAGATCAGGAAGCCCTCCGTTGGAGGCCCAAGGCTTCTTCGTGGCTTCACACCTCAGTGAGCCCTTCACAACGGAAACGACTCGCCTGGAATGGGTGCAGAAACAATTTGCATCAGCTTCTTGGTCCCTGAAAGCTGGGTGATGGGTTATGTCTAAAAACCCAACAACCTATCCCCAAGTTGGGTTGATCATTGGGATTGGGTATACCTGTACAGATGTTCTTTTTTGTGGTGGATCGATCAAAAATGCAGTTGTTGGTGAATCATGTGGTATGCCAGACCGGCCCTAACCATTTTTTCCCCTCAAAGCAGTGTTGTTTGGATGGGAGTTGAGCAATTTTTAAAAAATTAGGATTCAAACAAATTATTCTCTTCCACCAAAATTTCGAGAACCTGGGGACGTGACCAAGAACTACTTTGCATAGTCTTTGCATATCTAAGCAATGACCGTGGGAAATTGGCCGTTGGCATATGGGCACCAGCATGTGGGACGAGGACACGCTGTATCCGAGGTTCCAAGGAGCCAAGATGTGCATTTCCTTTCAGGCAACCTCTGGGATCATTTGCGAAGTCTTCTGAAGGACTTGAACGTGGGATACCGCTGGATGCATGTAACTAGAAATGGATATATATATATATATGTGTGAATAGATATATATATATATGTGAATATATATATATATGTGAATATATATATATATATGAATATATATATATATATATATGTATATATATATATATATTCTCATATATATATATATACTGTATGTATATATATATATACTGTGTATATATATATATTTACTGTGTATATCTATATATATATATTGGCATTTTTTGTGGGTTCCTTGTTCCTGCAAGCTCTGGCCCACTTTGGCGATGTCCATCACTATTACTGTGACCTTTGTGAGACCTGTCAGCCAGAGTGCCCCAACTGGGATTATCCATTTTGCAAATGGGTACAAATGGTTGGGAAGCGGATTGCATTCATAAGCCCTATGCTACTCGAAATTCCCAGCCAGTTCCAGTACTTCAGGGCTCATCCAGCACAAATTGTTCTGATCATGGTATGACTTTGAATTCTCCGTGCCGCAGTGACCTAAATGCAATGCTTCGAAAATATTATTTTATGTCAAAGCCTTGAAAAACTGTACCAGTACGCGTTTCCAATCAGTGTTTACCAACCCTTTCCTCTTAAAAACGTTTGTATGAAACCTGCGAACCCCCAAATCCCATGCTCATCCATAGGTACTGAGCTCTGCTCGTCATTTTCCCATCATCGTTGCCCAATGCATTTCATACCATTCCCGAGTATAGCATCACCACGTTCCCATACTTTTCCCAGATTTTTCCCATTTTCCCATATTTTTCCCATACTTTTCCCATATTTTTCCCATATTTTTCCCATTTTCCCATCATTTTCCCATCATTTTCCGGGAAAACCAAGCACTTCCAGAGGAGGCCGGCCTGGCCGACCCCGACCTGGCCGCCTATGCGCGGCGCCTGTCGTTGGTCCAAGCTATCTACGAAGACCGCGGAAGACGACGCCCACAGCTGCCCTGGGAGGACGATGCCTATCGACGCTGCCAGTATCAGGTGGGGCTGATTTTAGGTGATTTGGCTATGGTCAATACTCATGGTTAATAACCATTAATAGGGGCTAGTCATCCAATGGTTCATAGGGATTTATAATAACCATTATAAGGATCCTTATTATGGATGGGATGACCACAAAGATAGATGGGTATGGATCAATATCTATAAAAATACCATTTTTAGGGGGATGAACATCCATTTTAACCCAGCTATTTTGATGTGAACAGAAGGGGTACTATTGGTTTTGACACACTGCCATTTGATGGTGGATTGTCCACATCAAATGGTTGGTATTAGATGATACACTCCCATATTGTAAAAAATATATCCGGGGAAGGTCATCAATCATCATCCAATAATCCACTGGTTGGTGGTTTGGAATATGAATTTTATTTTTCCATATATTGGGAAAAGTAACCCCAACTGACTTTCATGTTTTTCAGAGGGCTTGAAACCACCGACCAGTCTATGTTAGTTATTGTATGTTATTGTTAGTTTACCCCAGGGAAAAAAGATGTAGGGATATTTAGGAATTTGCCCATAGATTGATGAATGATGTGAAATAGGGATGTCAAGATGTTCCATAAATTACTAGAGGGTAAAATGTGATTTTAAGCTTCAATTTAAACATGGCGATTTCACTCATCAACCATGTTGGGGGACTTATACAACCAAAAATAACAAGCAAGTTTATGCTATAAGACAAATAATTTGCGGGGATATGACGATGATATAATGAGGAATAGTGATACATAGTGATACTGTTGATGCATGTTGATGCCCCAGTATACCAATTGTTGGTGGATGCCCAGGCGGACTACAAGGCCCTCCGATACACGGTGACCTTGCCAGATGGTTCGCGGGAAGAGGGCTCCGCCAAGCTTTGATTCGGAACGAAAAAGGTGTCAACGGATTCAGCAACTGTGGATCGATTTACGCAACAGGAATCAGATGATATCAGATTACTATGGATACTGTATGTGGTTACTTGTTTTTACCGGAGAAAATGGATAGTCTAACACCCAGCCGAGGCCCAAAAGGCCTGACAAAAATTGTACAATTAAACTTAATCCACAGGACAAAGTACGTGATTTCATTCGTATTGTTGAAATTTGTCCAGAGCAACCCCCAAAAGATAGATAAGTGATTTACCACTCGGATTTTTACGTATTTATCTTTTTGGGGATAGCTATAATAGAATATATATATATGTGTATACCAGCACCCTCTAAGTACCCACCATTAGTGGCCTGTTAGCATAGGTCACCAATTAGCGTCACTTTTTCTTTTGCTCATTGATGGGCTGGATTATGAAATCCCCACACAGGATGTCATCCGTTTCCCTCCTGCCAGGGTATACCGAGATTGGGAACACACACATCCCAATCTTAGAAACCACCACACCCTGAATCTGAATTGTAAAGCAAATGAAAAATCTAGGCACTTGTTGCGTGCCATCGCGTGTCATTCCCGTGTCGATGACCCCCCTAAGGTGATGCCTTTTGGTGGGTACTTAGAAAGGTGTCATGGGAAGTACCCACCAATTATGGGTACTTAGAAACGTGTCATGGGAAGTGCCCACCAATTATGGGTACTTAGAAATGTGTCATTGGAGCTTCTTGTGTTACTGCGTGTCAAAACGTGTCGATTTTGACCATTTGATGTGAATTTTGCAAAAAAACATGAGCAAACACAACTGATCATCCCAGGGTATATTGGGGTGAGACTGGGGCGGTACCCTCAAGGGATATAGTTTGATTGCTTGATGTGATGAACCCTATGTTATCCTATATTATTATGATGTGTTTTATGCCATCATTGACAAGTATTGCTAAGTACCCTCCAATTAGCGTCACTTAGGGGATCCAAATTTATGAACTTAATTAGAGCCACTTTGAGGGCTCTGGTACATATTATGTCTAATATATATATATATATATATAATTATTGTACTCTTTTATTTGAGATCATGACCCCGATTGACGATTGATTTTCATAAAATGTTGAGATGTTAGAGTCACGATTTCACATCGCTCAATGGTAAGTCAAGAAAACTCCAGGAGATGATTTTTGCTGAGGTACTCAGTAGAAACACCTGGAAATCGATGTTTTTTTTCCATGCCATGTGCTTGGATTTGCCGGAAAATAAGCTACTGCAAATGCTACACCCCCTCAATTTGATGGCTGTAGTGATCATTTTCTTAATCTATGAATGCATATCAATGCCCTTTTAAAGGCATAACATGCCCCATTTTGAGACAAAGAAACGGTGATGAAATGCCAGGGATTCGCCTCGTTTAGGGCCCCGAGACGCGGTCGGGCCCTCAGATGATCTCAGATGGAGACCGACCAAATTGGACTCCAAATTGATCCAAATTCTGGATATAGATTGGATTTAATGGGCTTTAACGGGATTTAATGGGCTGTAACGGGATTTAATGGGCTTTAACGGGATTTAATGGGCTTTAACGGGATTTAATGGGATTTAATGGGATTTAATGGGCTTTAACGGGATTTGATGGGATTTAATGGGCTTTAACGGGATTTAATGGGCTGTAACGGGATTTAATGGGCTTTAACGGGATTTAATGGGCTTTAACGGGATTTAATGGGATTTAATGGGATTTAATGGGCTTTAAGATTTAATGGGCTTTAATGGGATTTAATGGGCTTTAACGGGATTTAATGGGCTTTAACGGGATTTAATGGGATTTAATGGGATTTAATGGGCTTTAACGGGATTTAATGAGATTTAATGGGATTTAATGGGCTTTAATGGGATTTAATGAGATTTAATGGGATTTAATGGGATTTAATGGGATTTAATGGGATTTAATGGGCTTTAACGGGATTTAATGGGCTGTAACGGGATTTAATGGGATTTAATGGGATTTAATGGGCTTTAACGGGATTTAATGGGCTTTAACGGGATTTAATGGGATTTAATGGGATTTAATGGGCTTTAACGGGATTTGATGGGATTTAATGAGATTTAATGGGTTTTAATGGGATTTAATGGGATTTAATGGGCTTTAACGGGATTTAATGGGCTGTAACGGGATTTAATGGGCTTTAATGGGATTTAATGGGCTTTAACGGGATTTAATGGGATTTAATGGGATTTAATGGGCTTTAACGGGATTTGATGGGATTTAATGGGATTTAACGGGATTTAACGGGATTTAATGGGATTTAATGGGATTTAATGGGATTTAATGGTGTATTTTGGATATATATAATAGATATACGCTCTGGTAATAGCTAACATAGCTATTGAAAATGGCAATAGAAATAGTGTTTTTTTCCATAGCTATGTTAAATTACCAGAGGGATGTGTATATATATATATTTGTGTGTATATATAGATGGTACTGTTGTAGTCATGAAAATTGATGAGACCTCATCACTGTCGCTATGGGCCACATACGGTATACTCTTGACTTTTCCGACAGATGAACATAGTTCGTAAGAAATAGACACCACCTTCCAAAGTAGGCTACCCCAAAATCTTCTTGATCATAACTGTCATGACAATTTCAATTTTGGGGTATACGGTATACCCATGTATACAATGTATATACCTTATTTATGAACATTCGACATGGGTGCCCACGTGAAATTATGGTGGTCGAGTTTGCCAAGCACTTCACATGGATGTCATAAACCTGGATGTTTCAATCCTAAACAACCCAAACAACCAAAGTCTCTGGTTATTCCTAGTCCGGCCTAGTCCCCCTATAGCATTTGTTTTTGATATGCATTATACTCCGTTATACTCCTTTAAACCATCATTTCTGGATTCTTTCCCCACTGTCCTTGTTGAATATCACTCCCATCTTGGTCTTGCTCTTTTCAATCCCCATGTTGCTTCAAACCCATGTTAGCCCATCCCATATTTTTCTGCTTCCAATTCTGATGAAATGAACCCTCGTCACAGATAACACAGGGTACACAACACCCCAAAATCCGGTGGTTTGTCAGGACATTTTCCCCACCGAAATGGCTGGCACCAGACATGTCAGGACTCAAAAAAAAATCGGGGAAATCAATTGGAAATCAATTGGTCAAATGTGTGGTCCCTTCAAGGGCAACATTTTTGCGATTCCAGCCTTGTTCAGTGAGGCCATTTGAAACTCTGATTGTTGGCCAACACATGCCATTAGGACTTCTTGATGTTAATTGTGTTTTTGAAGAGACAACGATTCGCCATGATTCCCCTTAACTTCTCCCTTGAAATTCAAATGTTGTTTGCGACCAATGTTGAGATTCATTGATTCTTCGATTCCAAGAATCCCTGAAAGCCTCGCCCTAAGGTTTGGCACCTTCATTTGCTTCAGCGAAAGAGGTGGGGAGCTCCTTAGTCTCACAGATGCTCCACAAATGGTATGGTCTTCCACGCAGGGTATAATGATTTTTATGTTTTTTGGTTGTAATATTACTATTCAAGGGAAGGGGTTATCCCAACCAATGGATGAGATTCTATTGGTATATATCATATATCCCTCATATTCTTCAATCAATGGATTATCCCAATCAATGATAATCAATGTACTGTATATATATGAAAGAACTCCCCCATATTATCCTGTTTGTATGATTATATCCCAATCATTGGGTATTATTATCCCAATGCTTATTTATCCCAATGAGCTTAATGAGCTTAAGTTGCAATTCCGTTTACTTGAGTATGAAACCTCAACTTTGTGAGAGCCAAGTTGGACATGCGGTACCTGTGGGGCAATGTCGATCGGGTCGTTATTTCGCGCACTATACTTGGGTGAAATACATCACAGAGCCACCAAAGAGATAAGCCCTTCTATAGTTACCAAACCCAACAGCTGGTTGGTGGTTTCAAACATGTTTTATTTTCCATAATATATGGGATAATCCTTCCCATTGACTAATATTTTTCAAGATGGTGAAAAACCACCAGCCAACAACAGTCTTGCCCACAATTCTAACACCACATGGTCTGGCACCCTTTCACCCTGAAGCCCGCTTCACCGCTAAGATCCGCATGAACATTTGGAAAAACAACTTAAGCCTTGCAGCATCAACCGTTGCAGAATGAAAGAGGGATGCTTTCCGATGAAATCCACAATTTTTGGTGTCAGATTTGGATTTCCTCGCCAATTGTTTGCAATCACATTTGATGGGTTGTTGCGACTAGTTGTCATGGGTACGAACCAAACAAAACATGGGATATAGTGGGTATATAAGTAACCAATGAGCTGTTTGGTGCATTCATTCATTTAAATTCGTTCTTTTGAATATGCTCCTGGATGACTTTGGGATGATCCTGGATGACTCTGCTAGTTTTGGCATGGGCTGAAACCACCAATCGATTTCTACTGAGATTTCAAAGCCGGCCGATTCGTTGAGATGCCCAGATGCCCCTTTGCTTGTCAATCAGCCATGCTGGAGTTATTTTTAGGTCCCAAATTGAAGGGATGAGCTTGAAAAGACCGCTTTAAGGATAGAGTTTTATCATGTTTTATCTGCCTGGTGGGTTGTGTTCCACCTGAAGCAGAAGTACCAAGAATGTCAAATCTATCACTTAACATAATAGATATGATTGGCAAACACGATAAGAACCTATCCCCAACATTGCCATATTTTTATGGGTGGGATTGATATCATCCCCACATGGTTTTTGTAGGTTTATGGCATTGACAATTGGGCGAATCCCACATTATAGAATACATGTTTGATTAAGAATCATTATCTACCAGTATTATAAGAACCAGTGTTGATAACCATTGACCACTAATTAACCATTCATAATCATGTCTCAATAATTATTATTAACCATGTATTAAGCATTTATCAGTTGTTCGCGGTTAACCATTATTTAACCATTTTATGGTTAATTAATGGTTGACCACTAGTTAACCATTTCATGGTTATATAGCGGTTCACCGCTAATTAACCATTTAAGGGTTGACGGTTGACCATTAATTAACCATGCAATGGTTATATAACAGTTAAAAGTTGACCATTAGTTAACCATTTAATGGTGATCGGTTGACAATTGATTGTCCATTTAACGGTGATCGGTTGACAATTAATTAACCATCCAACGGTTATCGGTTGACAATTAACTAACCATTTAACAGTTATCGGTTGACCATTAATTAACCATTTAGCGGTTATCGGTTGACAATGAATTAACAATTTAACGGTTAACGGTTGACCATTAATGGTGAAGCATCAACCATTAAATGGTTAATTAATTGTCAAGCGTCAACCATTAAATGGTTAATCAATTAATTAACCGTTAACTAAATCATTCCAACTTCGTTAGAGTCAGTCCTCCTGCAGAAGGAGACGGCACACATCCTCTCCATTGCCACGGAGTATCGGCAAGAGGCGGACGAGCGGGCACCGGACGCCGCGCACGGAGCTCGATGGTTGCGTTGGTTTGAAAAAAAATGACTATATACTATAAGACATAGAGTAAGATTATCCAAGAATAGATTGATCATGATCTATCACTTCTCAAGAACAATGACTCCAGTTTGTAAAAGTGGGGCCAGCATAGGAACTTCAACAGACACTTAGCATATCTTGGCATCAGAAAAGTCTCATCACCTGGCCCTGCCGGTCCCTTGAAGATCTTGAAGCGCTCACAAGAGGTTAATAGGAGAGAGCATGACAGAACTATACTAGAACTATATTGTACCACGTGTTATTTTATGTGTTGTCTATTTATGATCAGTGAAGTTCAGTGCACGTCCGGGGATGCGACGGTTGAAAGGTGAACTGTATGAAAATGGAGGCGCCACCCACCAGGATCAGTATGATCTTAGGGCTCGCCAGAAAACGGGCGGCACTTTGTATCTTCATAATTTGAGGTGCTCAAAGTTATTTTTGGAACTTCTTAAGTTTTTTTGTTTTTTCGGGCCTGTACAGACAATACTAACATCATATCAAAGCCAAGTCCAAGTGCTTGAGCAACTCATCACAACTCTTGCACCGAATTCCTCAGCTATCAACATCGTCACAAAACAAAACAAAAAACTTAACACAATGGCATTTTAAATAGATGTGTATGATATGTTTTGATTTATGAGATGTTGTGATAAGATGTTCAAAACACAGCAGCATCAACAATTGCCTTCCTCTTCCAACGCAAACAAACACGGTGAATGTTTGCACAAATTCCACTGCAGAATCCCCAAGAAAAAAATGTCAATTAATGCTAAGAAACAAACATTGAGCATCAACAGAAAGTTATAAGGGAGTAATTTTCAAACATAAACTCCTCGGAAGGCTCCCCTTTTAACGTGTGTTCCACCGGGCTGGTCAGGCTGTAATCCTTCAGCGAAGCGCCAAACTGCTGGGCTACAAGCGTGGATGCTCAATGGTGGAATTTAGGACTGGAGTTTGCCTGATTCCAAAGTTGAAATCCTGCGGTTCAACCTAATCATGGACATGTTTGGAATCATTATAAGAATAATTCCAAAAGGTCGAGTGGGAGCAATCTATTTGGACTGCTTCTTACAAAGGTTTACCGCGACGGCACAATGCTCAACTGTTGCCCCAGAGCTATGGCAGCTATGGAACCCTGCCAGGATTTCCAACTGAGAGACCGTCCACCTTTGGATGGTCTTGCGATTCGAGATATACACATGGCCATGTTGGAAATACTGAGTTGCCAGAAGTTCCAAGAATCTGTTTCCCATCATTTTCAAGCACAATTTAGCAGGAAAAGTCAACATTTTCAACCCTATGGTAGCCTATGGTTCATCACCAATGTCCAATTAAAGTTGCATTTTGGAGTATCCCCGAGTCATTGCTTCAGGCTTGCAGGGTCCCCAAAAACGACGCACTGCGCGCGGTTGTTGTGCCAGGTTTCAGTTCTGCGGCTTCCGCGTCGTCCCGGCAATGTTCGGACGTGGGGAACATCCCATGGCCGCTCTGTGTTTTTTTGTGTTTGTTTCTATGGTGGAAAAGCTGCCACATACAAGCATGTATAATATATATATATATATAACTATACTGTACACATACACACATACACACATACACCCATGCATGCATGCATGCATGCATATATGATCATATATGTCATATGTATACATTATACACACGTATATCCATATATATACGCATGTATCTCGTGTATAGATGTGCATTTATATGTATATAAATATATACTTATATGTACATATATTTTTTTTACACACACATATTCATTTACATATATATATATATATATATATATACGCACACATTTATATATACATATATACATATGTATACATATATATGTACATATATCTATACTATGTACACAGAGAGAGAGAGAGAGGGGGACAGAGAAAGAGAGAGAGAGAGAGAGATAGACAGAGATATCCTATATTATGTGTGTGAGTGTGTGTGCATTTGTTTCTTTTCATGTATGATGTTGTACTTAGTGCTATGTGTTTAGGTGTATGATGCACTCAAGCGATGTCACTTGATAATTTCACAAAGTGATGTCCCCCGAAATGTAAGTTAGATTATAAGCACAGCTCACTCTAGATACATATACCATAAACATCCATAAACCCTAGTTATGTTGGTTATAAGCTAACTTAGCTCAGTACGGGGCACCCTTAGACGACCTGGGTCGTCTCTGATGCCTGGAGGATGACCTGCAGTGAGATCGATGTATCTACTCACAACACATGCATGTACATGCATTGTTGTTGTATGTATATGTATATTGTGTATATATATATTATATATATATATACGTCAACCTGTGATATCATAATTCGTGTGGTATATTATATCAAATATAGGATTTGTAATATACGATGTGACATATAGTGTGTGTATATATGCATATATTTATATATGCATGCAGCTACGTAGATACATTCTGCACCGGCAGGTTTCAACCACCAGTTAGTTGTGGCATTGTGTTTTCGAGTCGTGACATATGTAGCTGAGATGAAAGCAGACTGACGGTCTTGAGGGCGACTACCATTTGCTGATGGCTAGGCTTTGACTGAAAGATTGGTTACCTCTAAATCCAGTGGTTAATCATGGTTTATCATTGTATTGTTTTACTCAAATCGCTATTTGGAGGGCATGGAAACCATGTTGTGGCCCAATGCGAGTTTTGGGCAACGATTCAACATTTCAACTGGGAAATCATATGTTTTCTCACTTAAATTGGCGTAAAAACGGAGATACGTCAGATAAGTCCCGTTTTCAGGCGCACCCGTGGTCGATTGCTGGTGATATACGATGATATATGGTGATATATCTATATCTACCCCACAAAAAATGGAAAAAAAACTATGATGGTTGGCTTTGGACCTCTATGATTCTTGCTTCAAAAACAACACATTGATGTAGGCAGAGCTTTGAAGCTATTTTTGGTGCAAGGAGCTCCAGGAAATCTTTGAGAGATCCGAAAAGTCCGGATGGAAGATAGTGGAATTTAGCACAAGTTGCCATTTTTTGGAATTTACCCAATGCGACCCAACATATCCAAAGATATGCTTGTTCAATTTCAATTCAAGCCATCCGGAAGCGGCCTTTTGAAGAATGATTCGCATCTTGAAGTTATCTGGAGAGGAGCTTTGCGCCTTAGATGAGAGACTTGACGGCGAAATTTCACCGAAGCAACACAACCGCCTTCAAACAGTTTTCTGGGTCACTTGTAAACAACGACCTCATTGTTTAGATGGTAGTTGGAATTGGGAGAAACATCCCACAAATGGTTTGTTTACGCGTATAGGGTTTGTGAATGACAGCAGTTTGCCCATGAACAGCCCGGTTTACCGACATTAACCGGGCATCCAACAGAAAGGAATCTCATGATTTGGATAGATAGATAGATAGATAGATAGACAGACAGATAGATAGATAGATAATGATTATGATCATGATAATGATCATGATAATGATCATGATAATGATAATGGTAGATAGATTTGTGTACAAGTATGTACATAGATACATGTATGCATAGATGCATGTATACGCATGTTTACATATGCATATAAACATATATGCATGTACATGCATACATATATATACATGTGTATATGCATATATATATATATATACATATGTATATATGCATGCATACATTGCATCGCGTTGCGTTGCGTTGCGTTGTGTTGCATTGCAGTACATATATACACATACACATATACATATTTACATATATACACATATACACAGTTACACATACACATTTACATGTACGTATATACATATCGCACAGATACATATATACTTGTATGCATAGTTGCATGTACATGCATACGTGCATATATATATATATACATGCGTGTATATGCATATATATTATATATACATATATATACATACATATATATATATACATACATATATGCATGCATACATTACAAAACAACGGTGCCGTGCGGAGAAACACCATAGGCATGACTTAGGCATGACTTTCTCTTTTGCCTGTACATTGCATTGCAATGCGTTGCAGTACATACATGTTGGATGTTTATATAGACACATATACATGTATACATATACAAATGTATACATATATATATATATATACATATATACATATATATATATATACATATACATATATATATACATAGATACACATGTAGATACACACGTATAGATACACAGGTTTAGATACACATATATAGATACATATATATATATACAGTTATTTATATACGGATATACCTCTGTATATGTACACGGTTTATGCATATATATATATATATATTAGGCACATATATTAGGTACATATACATGTATATGTACATACACATATCATGTATGTATACATATGTATACATATTACATATATATATATATATGTACACACATAATTATAGATATGTATATGTATATATATATATACACGTAGACACATATACACACATATAAGCACATACTTTCATATTTACATATTTTTACTCATATATGGATATATACACGTGTGTGTATGTATATATATATACATTTACATATATATACATATATGTATATACATATATGTATATACATGTACATGCATAATCATACATATATATATATCCATCTATCATACCATCTATCCATTGGTTCATCTATATACAGTGCTAGCCTCTGACCATTGATCATCTTCAAAGACAAGAATCCTGTTTTGCCAAACAGGAGTGTTGATAAGTTGCAGGCCTAGATGCCAATGACTGCTGTTAGGTGCATGCATATGGGTGCGTCTGAAATTGTGGCCCCTATCCCCCCAAACAATGGTCATGTAAAGGGGGGAAATGATGATAATCCTACTAGAATTGTGGGTACCTCAGTTTCAGACAAATACATGTGCATAAATATATATATATATATCATATGTATTTACAGTATAGAGAGAGAGAGATGGCTATACTACATATATTGCATGATGTTCCTGATGTTTTAAGGTAGCACCAGTGTATGTTGTGTTCGCTTGAGTGCTTTCTAGATGGTTCCCACCATTTCTGGCAAGCTTAGTGGGTGGGGTATGGTTCATGGCTTTGGGCGTATCACATTACCAGTATCATACCAGTCGTACCGCACAAGGCGGTGGCGGAAGTTTCAAAACTAGGAAACCTATAGGAGAGGTTGGTTGTTGTGAATCACGGATGGCAGAGCGAAGCCACTGATGGACCGAAAGGTGGTTGAGGTCTCCTCTCTTTCTCTCTCTTTCTCTCTCTTTCTCTCTCTTTCTCTCTCTTTCTCTCTCTTTCTCTGATTATCTACCTACCTACCTCCCGGTCTATCTGTCTGTCTGTCTGTCTGTCTGTCTATCTGTCTATCTGTCTATCTGTCTATCTATCTCTGTCTCTGTCTCTGTCTCTGTCTCTCTCTCTCTCTCTCTCCCATCTGTCTATCTAAGTACCCATCTACCTATCCATCTGTCTATCTATCTATCTATTTATCTATCTATCTATCCACCTATCCATCTATCCATCTATCCATCTATCCATCTATCCATCTATCCATCTATCCATCTATCCATCTATCCATCTATTCCATTTATCTATCTATCTATCTCTCTCTCTCTCTCTGTCTGTCTGTCTGTCTATCCATCTATCTATCTATCTGTCTGTCTGTCTGTCTACCTGTCTATCTGCCAGCTTGAAGACCAAGCTATTCTGCGAGACTTCCTCATTGTTCGAAGTTGACAATATCAAAAACGATGCAATTCTGCGACACTTCTTCATTTTTTGAACTAGACAACATCCAAAACGAAGCAATTCTGCGAGACTTATTCAATTTTTGAACTTGACAACCTCAAAAACCAAGCAATTCTGCGAGACTTCGTTCAAAAATGAAAAGTTGAGTGCAGAGCTGACGGCCTCGTACCAATGCGTTTTGCGATTTTTCCACTCCATCTGTCTAAAGTACTGCGCCTGTCACGAAAAATTGATGCCAGGTCATACGAAGTGCTGCACCTGTCACGCAAAATCCTCTTAGCAAACCTACAGATCTGATGCTCCAAAATGCAAGCCGTCTCAGGAAATCAGCGCCCTGACCTCCTAACATCTCTGATGAACATGTCTTTTGTACTGCGCCTGCCGCGCGAAATGCATCTTTGCAGATCCTCTTCAAATGTCCCACGCCTGCCATCGTTTTCGGAAATGCCACAAAACCCTCACCTTTTGCTCACTTTTGAGAAGGTGCACAATCCCTTGCGCCTGCCACGCGAAATGACATCTGAACGTCCAAAAGTGGTCCGAACCTGGTGTTTTTAACATTTTGACTTCGAAATGTGCTTCGCGCCACAACGGCGTGCACTTTTTCATCTCTCATCTGGCCAGATGGCTCCGCACCCGCCGCTTTAGCGAGCCTACTTTTCGACCCTCCGGAGCCACAAATCATTGGAAAAACACAGTGTTTCGCGACTTTCCTACCTTTTCGCGCATCTGCATCTTCTTTCTTCTGACTCTTTCTCTTCTCTGATCTTCTCTCTTCTACTCTTATCTTCTCTCTTCTACTCTTCCCATCTCTGCTCTTCATCTGTCCATATTGTCAGAAGTTTGACTTCTAAACTTCCTTCGATTAGGGTAGGTTTAATGGATGTATGATGATATATCAATAGTGTATGGCGCGTCACGGGTTTTCCACAACTGTAATTGATTAGTTTTATATAGTTTTGTCTGAGAATAGAGTACCTCACAAAAGAACCTGGTTGAGCATCATGTTCCCCATTGCGAGAAGGCAGTTTTGGTGTTCCCGATGTTGCCGCCATGGCCTTTTCCAATGCCCCCAGCGACCCAGGAAAGGCTTGGAGGACTTGAGCACAAAGTATGGCTCAACTGTCAGAAGTCTGAAGCGTCACATCAGGACCTTGACTAAGGCCTCCATCTACAGGCACCGATTCATCCGTTCTTGGATGTGGTGGTGGGATGGTGGGAAGTCCTAGAGACCTGTCAGCATGCCAACACGTTCAGCACCTGAGTACCAATGGGGAGGAATGCACATGGCTTCGGTCACAAAAATATGAACATATCACGTTTCTGTGATGTTTATATATATATACTATAATTAATTGTTTGTGCCACAGTCAGCATTGAACTCCCAAATTCCCCTCGCGTAAACAACCCCGGAAATGGACGATCCTAGTAGATGATGTTCCTGGTGTTGGACGCCCACGGAAAGTGCCAGGCAGAGGTTGCTCTTGCAGAATGAGGAGTTGGATGATGATCAGAGTTTGGCGAACTTGACCGCTGGAGCTACGGGAGGTGAGCGCAGATTCTTGGAGCTCCAGCTGCTGCAGATTCCCTGGCAGGGGCTCGCCCATCCCGATCTGTTTTCAAACTATGAAAAGTTGAGGGAAGCAATTGAGCAAGCCTCATCCCAAGAAGTGGAACGAATTTTGAGGATACTTGGCTCATGGTTTCAGAAGAGTTTGTTTTTCTACAAATGGAGCCTGAAACGCCCAAAAAAACCTGGCTGATTTTTTTTGTTGGATTCTTGTCTCGCGCAAAACAGGATCCCGATTCATCCTGATGTTAGTGAAAAGATGTTGCTCGACGAAAACCGAAGGAGCTCTCTCAGAAAGAGCCTCAACAAAGCCGGAAAAAACGAAGACTGCGGTGACCGATCGGTGGATTTCCTTCGAACTGCCTTTTATGCTGCTGCCAAAGTCGGCGACCCTGAGATGCTGGGAGAGAGCTAAGTTGTGACGTGTGGTAAAGCGTAACACCATCATATTTTTCACACTGAGTATTAGTCTGGCTGACATAGTTTCTAGTAACAAAATACCCATCTGACCTACAGAACTTGGGTGTGGCTTATCATTGGGTTTACCACATGATCTTCTTTCGTTCGATCTCCCCGGCCACTTTTTGCGAAGCTAAGTTCGGTGTTTTGGCGAATGAGAAACGGGAATGCAAAATTTAGTAGGGGATAGGTTATTAACACTACTTGGGGGTGCAGTTCCACCAATAAGTGGGTTGCATAAACATAGTTGCGCAGGGGTTATATCCCAACTTATGGAGGTTATCACCATAGTTACACCCCTTAGGAACCCAAACTGCACCCCCAAGTATGGTATCCGTACGGGACCATCGAAATGAATAAGCAATCCCTGGAACAACCCTCAAGCGCCGTTCTTCAATGCCAACCATAGCCAACAAATACGCAACCAATAGGTCAAGCTCGCTGGGTGTTAAATTTCAACCCTGTCTTTCTTGGAAAAGATGACCCTAGTGACTACCTTGTGATAGTTTAACGCAACTCCCAACAGGCAAATCACCGAACAAACATGAACTAACGATGCCATTTTTTCCACAGTAAACTGTTGAATTACCAGAGGGTGTGTCCCCATTTCCAAGATTTTCCAAATATATCCCCACGTATTTTCCATTTTAGATGCTTCAATCCCCATGTTTTCGCTGTGTTCGTGTCAGATTCCCTGGCAGGGGTCAGCACCCCCAGGATTGTGGGTCATCTTCTGGACGCAGACGCTGACCCTAATGCCCAAGGTCGCTTGAAGTTCGCAGCGATGGAGAGCCAGTTGGAGATCGCCCGCTTGTTGCTGGAGGCGAGAGCACATCCGGATGGCTCCAGGGCGTCCAGGGCGTCCAGGGCGTCCAGGGCGTCCACATCGTCAGACAGTGAGGTCAATGGGATGGGTTTGTGTCAGAGTGTTGCTTTTGCCCGAAAGAATGGGGGAAGTTATGGAAAGTTGGGTTTCAAATGAATCGGATCCAATGGGGTATCCAACGCTTCACATTTCCAGGTAGAGAGCGTTGAAGAAGTGCCGTTGTGCATCTTGGAGTAAAACAACCTGCGGGACCGAAAACCGCGTGTGGCAGCGGCCTTGTTTTCCTTCCTCAGGATGTATAATCATTGGGAAAAAAGGATAAAAAATGAGAAATGTAGCATGTTGGTAGCTCACAGGAGTGACTTTTTTCAGCTCAATTCCATTGGTGTTTAAATTATCATTTTGTGCGTTGCAGTAAAGTCTTTGTTTTCAAAAAAAAAAGGCCCAGAAAACGGCACGTTCTCTTCTTTTGGAATACGGTGTGTCCAACTTTTTTGCGTTCATTGCAAAACTTCTTTGACTGCTTTGGCAGTGACCTTTCACAACTTGTGGTACAAGTTAAGCTGCCCAGACCACGCAAACGCCAGAATTCGGGAACTATCAGTGTTCAGACTGGGAGGGAAGAAAACCTCTCCAAAAACTGTCACTCAACCCGGTGTTGGCAACGTATCACATAGCGCATGGCAAAAGGAAAGTCAACGTAGCATGTGGCGTGTATGCAAGTGTACGTGAAACGTGACAAAGTTACAGATAATGCATGCCAACAGGAAGAACGTCACAACGTAGCATGCAGTGCACGTATGTGAACGTCAACAAGTTTGGCAGTGTGTTCCATGGCATCCTCCCCACCCACCTCCATCAACCTCGTGATCAATGTAGGCAGATATAGTCAGATATAGAAATCGCTACGTACAACTACACCTTCCATTTCGGATCCTGAAGCAAACACAAAAGCCAGTCTTGTTTTGATCCGGGAACCTAGTCCTCCTTGTCCTTGTCCTCCTCCTTGCATTTGCAGCTGTAGTTGTGTTGTTGTTGTTCTTCTTCTTCTTCTTTTTTTTTTTTTCTTCTTCTTTTTCTTTGTCTTCGTGGTCTTCTTTCTTGGTCATCATGGTTTTTCTTCTTCTTCTTCGTCGTCGTCTTCTTCTTCTTCTTGTCTTCCTGTTGGTCTTTCTCCTGGTCTTGTTCTTTGTCTCCTTCCTCGTCTTCTGCCTGGTCTTCTTCTTGGTCTTCTTCTTGGTCCTCTTCTTGGTATTCTTGTTGGTCTTCGTCTTGGTCTTCTTCTTGCTTTTCTTCGTCTTCTTCTTGTCTTTTTCTTTGTCTTCTTCTTTGTCTTCTTCTTCTTCTTCGCGGTCTTTTTTTGGGTCTTGTTTTTTTTTGGTATTCTTGGTATTCTTCTTCGTCGTCTTTTTTTGGTCTTCTGGGTCTTTTTGGTCTTTTCGGTCTTCTTGGTCATTGCGGTCTTCTTGGTCTCATTTGTCTTCTTCTTCTTCTTCTTCTTCTTCTTCGTCTTTTTCTTGTCCTCTTCTATGCCCCCTTTTGGTGTTCTTCTTATTTATTGGTCTTCTTCCTGTTCTTCTTCTATATTCTTCTTGGTCTTCTTTTGGTCTTCTTCTAGGTCTTCTATGGTCTTCTTTTTGTTCTTCCTCTTGGTTTTCTTCTTGGTCTTCTTCTAGGTCTTCTTTTTGTTCTTCTTAGTGGTCTTCTTTTAGGATTTCTTCTTGGTCGTCTTCTTGATTTTCTTCTAGGTCTTCTTCTTGGTCTTATTCTCGGTTCTCTTCTAGGTCTTCTTCTTCTTCTTCTTCTTGGTCTTCTTCCTCTTGTTCTTTTTCTTGGTCTTCTTGGTCTTTGTAGTCTTCTTGGTCTTCTTGGTCTTCTTGGTTCTTGTGGTCTTCTTTTTGGTCTTCTTCTTGGTCTTCTTTTTGGTCTTCTTCTTGGTCTTCTTCTTGGTCTTCTTCTTGGTCTTCTTCTTTTCTTCTTGGTCTTCTGCTTGGTCTTCTTCTTGGACTTCTGCTCGGTGGTCTTCTTGGTCTTTTGCTTGGTCGGCTTCTTGGTTTTCTTGGTCTTCTTGTTTTTCTTGCTATGTTGTTCTGTCCTCTTCTTCTTTTTCTTCTTCTTCTTTGATGATTCTGGTGTTTCTTCTTCCTTTTCCTTTTATTGTTATTCTTCTCTATGTGTCTTTTTCTTTTTTTTGCTATGCATTTTTTCTTGTTCTTCTGTGTCTGCTTCTGTTGTTTTTTCTTATTTCTTTTCTTCGTGTTACTGTTTTTTGTTCTTGTTCTTATGTTTTCTTGTTCTTTGTTGTGTCTTGATTTTTTTCTTGTTTTCGTCTTCTTGTTTTTTTCTATTAATCCGGATTATTCTTCTTTTTTCCTCCTCCGTAACTTATGTTTTTTGCATTTGATTTGTTTTTTCTTGTTGCGTTTCGTCTGTTATTCTGTCTGTTATTGTTCTTCTTGTCTTTCTTCTTCTTGAGTTTTTGTTCTTGTTTTTCTTGTTATTGTTTTTACTGTTATCATGTTTCTGTTGTACATATATTGTTTATGTGTGGTTCTTCTTATTTTTCTTCTTATTATGTGTCTTATTGTTATTTATTATTTTTGTTTTTTTTATTTGCCTTTTTCTCGTGTTGTCTTATTATTCTTATTATTCTCAGTGTTATTCTTCTTTTTCTGTGCATTGTTTCTCTTGTTGTTTTCATATTATTGTTTTTTCTTCTTCTTGTTCTTCTTCTTATTGTTGTTCTTCTTCCTTTCCTTGTTTTTCTTCTTCGTTTCCTTTGTTGTTATTCTTGTTTCTCAACTGCTTGTTTCTCATTAGTCTTCCTCCTCTCGTTCTTCTTGTTCTTCGTGTTCTTCTTGATATGTGTCTTCTTATATTATAGACTGATTTTGTCCATTTTGTGTTTCTTGTTGTTCTTGTTGCTGCGGTGGTGGTGTTCATGGTGATGATGACCACCGCAGTCACATTATCATCATCATCATCATCATCAGCAGCAGCAGCAGCACTATCACCACCACCACCATCATCATCATCATCGTCATCATCGTCATCATGATGTTTCTTCTTGTTCATCGTCGTTGTTATGAAGGTAAATTGGATTGTGTTTGTTGCTTCGATCATGAACTATGCTGTAGTGCGATTGTTTTGTTGGCGTATCGTGTTGTTTTGTTTAATCATGATGCTTATTGTACATTATTAGATCCTCGGTGCCATCACCATCAGCATTATCATGGCAATCGCCATCGGCATCGTGCGTTTGTCTCCGCCACTGTCATCGTGATTGTCTTCTAATCATTGTGTGTTTTCGTGTCATGGTCTTCCGGGCCCGCGTCATCACCAGCATATCAAGAAAGCGTCACAATACATTAATTACCCATTGTATACTCTGTACGCATGCTTCAATCTAATGGTTGTTGTCGTTATCCGTGGCTTATCTTCGCAGATCCTCAATCCTATTGTTTGCGTCATGTTTCGCACAATTGCTGAAAGTGGCAAATTTTCAGACCAAACCATGCTATACCGTAATGCTGTACCAGCAAGTCTTCACTCAGGTATGGCGATTGAAAACCGCGACCTGCCAATGATCAAGCTTTTGTTGCAGAGTGGATGCGCAAGAGATCATATCTACGAAAATGGTGCCACAGCTTTGATGACAGCTTGCGAGAAACAGACTGATGAAGTGGTGAACACATTGTTGCAAGCGGGTGCCAGTGTGAACAAGAGTGATTCTGATGCATGGCGCTTCCCACCCATTCCCTTTTAATTTTGTTTTTTGGTGGAGAACTACCCTGAAAAAGTAATTTGTACAAAACCACTTGAAGGGAAACAGTCGCAAAACACCTGGGAACCAGGATGGGCAGACACCTTTGATGGAATGTTCCGTGAAGAATTTGGAGATGACCAAACTGATGCTGGACTTCGGTGCCGAGATCAATTCCAGAGATCTTCAGGACTGCTTCGTCGTAACCAATCCTTGTTTTCCTCTTTGTGTCCCTGTATCCCTTCCCTTAACACCCCCCGGAACAATGGTTTTGGTGGGTTTTCACACGCATTGGAACCCATTTAGGGTGTGTTTAATTTTAGGAGGACGGGATTAGCACATATCCCGAAACAATTTTGAATGATGATCCAAAACCGCTCATTGTTCCGACGGGGTTGCAACCATCAACTGCACGCATATGTTCCATGCTCGGAATACTTGCCAATAATTACACTGATAGAAACCCAAAAATGCAAAACATACTTCATATACATAGAGAGCCATGGGTATCAGTCAAAACTTGCTGCCGCGAAAACTCTGGATTATAACATACAGACCAGCCTTTTTCAGGTGGTTTTTAGCGCCCCAATTATTTTGAGGTAATACCAACCCATGCCCATATGAAATGGGTGTCAACCAGTCAGTGCTTTGGTGTCACGTACTCTCGGTACCTGGCAACGGTGCTGGTTTGTGGGGTGCGGTGAGATGGGGTGGGCTAATAACGGTATCTTGCACTTGCGCACATATACGTCATGCTACGCTACTGTACTTTCTCTTGCACTTCCACACGCGCACACACACACACGTCATGCTACAAGTGCGCTACTGTACATTCTCTCGCACTTCCACACTCATGTCTTGCTACGCTACTGTATGTTGACTTGCACTTCCACACGCAGACACACACACACACGTCATGCTACAAGTGCGCTACTGTACATTCTCTCGCACTTCCACACTCATGTCTTGCTACGCTACTGTACTTTCTCTTGCACTTCCACACGCGCACACACACACACGTCATGCTACAAGTGCGCTACTGTACATTTTCTCGCGCTTCCACACTCATGTCTTTCTACACTACTGTACTTTCTCTTGCAGTTCCACACGCACACACACACACACACGTCATGCTACATGTGCGCTACTGTACATTTTCTCGCGCTTCTCCACTCATTTCATGCTACGCTACTGTACATGCTCTTGCACTTCAACACGCACTCACACGTCATGCTACAAGTGCACTACTGTACATTCTCTCGCACTTCCACACTCATGTCTTGCTACGCTACTGTATGTTGACTTGCACTTCCACACGCAGACACACACACACACACACACGTCATGCTACAAGTGCGCTACTGTACATTCTCTCGCACTTCCACACTCATGTCTTGCTACGCTACTGTACTTTCTCTTGCACTTCCACACGCGCACACACACGTCATGCTACAAGTGCGCTACTGTACATTTTCTCGCGCTTCCACACTCATGTCTTTTTACACTACTGTACTTTCTCTTGCAGTTCCACACGCACACACACACACACGTCATGCTACATGTGCGCTACTGTACATTTTCTCGCGCTTCTCCACTCATTTCATGCTACGCTACTGTACATGCTCTTGCACTTCAACACGCACTCACACGTCATGCTACAAGTGCACTACTGTACATGCTCTCGCGCTTCCACACTCATGTCATACTGCGCTACTGTGCGTTCTCTTGCACTTCCACACGCACACACACGTCACGCTACAAGTGCGCTACTGTGCATTCTCTCGCACTTAATGTCATGCTATGCTACTGTACGTTCACACGCACACACACACACACGTCATGCTACAAGTGCGCTACTGTACATTCTCTCGCGCTTCCATACTCCTGCCGTGCCACGCTACTGTACGTTGTCTGGCGCCTTTGCACACATGTCATGCTACGCTACTGTGCGTTTTGTTTGCGCCTCCACACTCATGGCATGCTACTTCACTCTACGCTCCTTGCCTTCCACACTCATGTCATGCTACGCTATGTATACGCTCTCTTGCACTTGCGCACATTTGTCATGCTACGCTACTGTACGTTCTGTCGCACATCGACACGCGCACACACGTCATGCTATAAGTGCCGTACTGTACATTCTCTTGCGCGTCCACGCTCATGTCATGCTACGCTATTGTACGTTCTCTTGCGCTTTCACACTCATGTCATGCTACGCTACTTTTTTTGCCATTCCACACACATGTCATGCTACGCTACTGTACGCATTTTGCCTTCTACATTCCACGTGCTCATGTCATGCTACGCTTCTGCACGCTCTCTTCAACCTCCACACTCATGTCATGCTACGCTACTGTACATTCTCGTGCACTTCCACACGCATACACACACACATCATGCTACAAGTGCGCTACCGTACATTCTCTCGCGCTTCCACCCTCACGTCATGCGACTGTACGCTCCTTGCCTTCCACACTCATGTCATGCTACGTTCTTTCGTTCTCTTGCGCTTCCACACACATGTCATGCTACACTCTTGCTTGTTCTCTTGCACTTCGACACGTATGTCATGCTACACTACTGTTGCTTCTCTTGCACTTCCACACTCATGTCATGCTACGCTACTGTGCGTTCGCTTGCCTGCACTTTCACCTACACACTTCATGCTACTACAGTACTGTACGTTCTCTTGCACTTCCACATTCCTGTCATGCTACATTACTGTATATAGCTTCTCTTGTGTTTCGCTACTGTACGTTCTCTTGTGCCTCCACGCACATGTCACGCTACGCTAATATACATTATCTTGCACTTCCACACACATTCTTGCTGCGCTTCTCTACGTTTTCTTGCGCTTCCACATACATGTCATGCTACACTCTTGTACGTTCTCTTGCACTTCCAGGCACATGTCATGCTACGCTACTGTACGTTTTTTGCGTTTCCACACATGTCATGCTACACTACTGTACGTGCTCTGGTAAAGACAGGCAAGTCGAGAGTTTCCGGCACAAAAGTGATAGATAGGATTTGGTTTGGATGAAAAAGTCATTCCGCGTTGCCTCAAAACCAAGAATGACAAAGTAATTAACCCACGTTTGTGGCTTGTGGAGCTACTTGCCTGTGCGACATGACAAGCAAGAAGATTGTAAATACCACCATTTTGATCCATCTTACCCTGGTACTGAGCAGGCGCGTTGTTTGTTTTTAGGACATGTGGCAGTATTCACCATCCAGTTTTGACCAGTTTATGCAGCCCATTATGGGTGAATGATAGCAGGTACCAGCAGGTACCAGCAGGTACCTGAGGGAGTTTTTTTGGGGTACCTCATGGTACCTCAGTTTTGACAGGATCGAACCGCATTATTCCTTGCGTCAGGGAGTGGTCGCAACGAGGTCGTGCAGTGTTTGCTGCAGTCACGGGCAGAAGTGGATGCTGCGGATTGTCGATGTCGATCCTGGGTAGCGAACTTGGGGCAGTTTTAAGTAGAAAAACGACGTTTACGAACGGGAAATTCATGGTTTCTAGAGACATCCATATTTGAAGCACATACGGTTATGTACAGTTATATACATTTATTTTCATCCATGTAAATTAAGTATTGTATGTGAATGGATCTAATATATAACATACAAGTATAATGAAGTACCTAGTTGTACAAACACAAATGGATAGATACACTGTATATAATATTATTTGATATCCACATCACATAGACTGGCTGTGGCTATTGCTTTGGTTCGGTCCACCCTGTTGTAATTGGGGTACCCGTACCCCAGGAAAATGGGGACTTGCCAAGAAGGATTATGAACCAATTCTGAAGTGGGATGATTCTCCAAGTGGTACTTATGTTTGGAAGTACCTCACATCCCATCCCCCAAGATCAAATACCCACAATCAGGAGCTAAGGGATGCAACATGAATAGATTGAATAGATCCATTACTAAATCAGGTTTTCTTTTGCGCGGGATTTCATACTTTTAACATTAGGGGTATGGGATTCATAAATCACATGGATTTCCTTTCTGCTTGGTGTTTTTGAGGGCTGGTACCACCGGCCACCTGTACCCCATCAGGATCCCCGTTGTGGGTGGCCGCTCGCAACGGACACCTGGCAGTTGTGCAAACCTTGATCGGTGCTGGTGCTCGTATCGATCTCACTGACCTGGATGGCCGGAGTCCAGCGCAAATTGCCAAGAGATTCAATCACCAAAGAGTCTTGTCACGGGGATGTTCACACCCAAAAACGTGGGCAGACGGAAGTCAACCCCAAAAAAGTGGGCAGAGTGGGATGGATTAAACCAAAGAATGATAGAATGGTGATTTATTTTTCACTGGGATGTTGATTGGGAGTCAATGTGATTCAATCACCCCCCAAAGGTGAAGCCTTCAGCAATAAGTATTCAGTTCAGTAAAGGTTTGTTAGCCGCCGACAACCGGGTTTTAACGTTCTATTAAAAAAAAAAACTGTCTTCATACCGAACGGTGATTCTGAAGCACCTGCCTGGGATGATTTTCCAGCTACAAGTGGTTGATGTTTAGTTTGGAGGGAGCAAAAGGGGAGAATCTATTGGCACCTTTTGCCAAAGTCGTATGATAAAATAGTATACGTACGCTATGAAACACGTATAGGGGTACATATATTATATTACCTATTCTCTGCGTGTCTTTTTGTAGTGACGATGGTATTTTATTCGTTTAGGGAGTGTGTAGGTGGTGAAGAGTATAAACTACATATATATATATATATAACGTTAGTGGGGGTATTTAGGTAGTAGCATTTAGGTTCGTAGGTACGTTGCTACATCTAGGTATAGAGTATGTAGGCATGAATAGGTACGCTTTGAGTAATGATGAGCAATGTATGTGTATATATATATAATAATCGAAGGAAGTTTTGAAGTCAAACTTCCGACAATATGGGCAGATGAAAAGCAGAGATGGGAAGAGTCAGAGGGAAGAGTAGAGCAGAAGAGAGAAGAGCAGAAGAGAGAAGATCAGAGAAGAGAAAGAGTCAGAAGAAAGAAGATGCAGGTGCGCGAAAAGGTAGGAAAGTCGCGAAACACTGTGTTTTTCCAATGATTTGGGGCTCCGGAGGGTTGAAAAGTAGGCTCGCTAAAGCGGCGGGTGCGGAGCCCGCTGGCCAGATGAGAGATGAAAAATTGCACGCCGTTGTGGCGCGAAGCACATTTCGAAGTCAAAATGTACAAAACACCAGGTTCGGAGCACTTTTTGGAAGTTGAGATGTCTAAAAAGTACACGCCCTTGTGGCGCGAAGCACACCAGGTCGGGACCACTTTTGGAAGTTGAGATGTCGAAAAAGTGCACGTCATTGTGGCGCGAAGCACATTTGCAAGTGAAAAAGCTAAAAACACCTCAAGTTTGGACCACTTTTGGAAGTTGAGATGTCGAAAAAGTGTGTGCCGTGGTGGCGCGAAGCACATGTCGAAGTCAAAATGTTAAAAACACACCATTCTCGGACCACTTTTGGAAGTTGAGATGTCGAAAAAGTGCACGCCGTTGTGGCGCGAAGCACATTTCGAAGTCAAAATGTTAAAAACACCACATGTTCGGACCACTTTTGGAGGTTCAGATGTCGTTTTTCGTGGCAGGCGCATGGGATTGTGCACCTTGTCCTAAGTGAGCAAAACGTGAGGCTTTTGTAGCATTTTCAACTACAACCACCACTACACCACACTACACTCCAATACACTACACTACAACTACAACTACACCTTCACTACATTCCACTACACTACACTCCACTACACTACACTCAATTACACTCAATTACACGACACTACACTACAATACACTACACTACAGTACACTAGACTACACTAGACTACATTCCACTACACTGCACTACACTACACTACGCTCAATCACACTACACTACACTACACTACACTACACACTACACTAACTACAACTACAACTACACTAGTTGCATTACACTACCCTACATTACACTACACTAATTGCATTACACTACACTACACTACCCTACCCCACGTTGCATTACATTACATTACATTACAATACATTCATTACACCACCAGAAATGCAACTGCAACTACGCTACACTAATTACACTACACCATAACTACAACTCCACTACACTACAACTACAACTACAGCTGCACTACACCACACTACATCCAGGAGTTGTGGGTGAGGTGACCGATCAGGCGGCCACTGCAAACATTGCAGCCACTCCAAAAAAACACAGCTCCAACCACCTTTCGGTCCATCAGTGGATTCGCTCTGCCACCCGTGATTCACAACAACCAATCTCTCCTATAGGCTTTCTATTTTTGAAACTTCCGCCACCGCCTTGTGCGGTACTGCTGGTATATATACATACTGTATATAGGTAGCAAATATGTAGCATAAAGGGGCACAATGAGTATATAGTAAGTCAGGTCTGAGGTACGTTATAGGCAGTCTACAAACAGGTTGTGGGTAGTGTGTGCTAGATCATTTATATACAAATGTACAGGTAGACCGGGTCCAGGGATGAGGTTGTGGCTCTCAAATGTCGCCAATAGCGCACAAATGGGAGGCCGTGATGCTCCGCAATCTTTTCTTGTGGGCTCCACCCTCATCCAAACACGACAAACAGCGAGGCTTCAGGTCAAAAATGGGCTTGGGCTATATAGACATTCTTCTGACTGGTTTCATTTCAACTACTTTTTTCCAACTACTTGTTTGATCTATTTGAACCTATTTGGGGGAATCGTGGTTGAGTCTCATCATGCTCTGCCCATTGAGTCTTTTTGGGAACCACCGAGCGGTGGAAATTCCATTGGATCATGAGCCAAGGAGTCTTTAAGTTCTTCAAGGATGACGAGGTTTGCTTTATCAAAAGACTTGCTTCAAAGTCAACTGTACCTCGATCCATCTTGTTCCCTCTTGGAACCCAAATGAAGGAAGGTGAGCAGCAGGGAAATATCAACGCAAATAAGATGCCGAGATATTGGGGAATCAACCCAGTTGGGTAGGACTGTTGGTTGGTTTTTGTCAGCATTCTGGTCAAGCCCGAAGCCCAAATTGTATTTGTTTAAGCAGCGGAAAAGAGATAAAATTGACAAGGGCTTGGAACACTGACATATGAGTGGTTGTTACATGATGTTACATGTTGTTACCCTTTTTTCTGAAATTGGTGGAGTCACCCTGCAAATGACCCAGCATTTCTGGTCGCCCAGGTAATCAAGAGCCAAACAAAGAGGCGTGGCAAAGCTGCGAAATGACACCAGCCTGAGTTGGGCAGCGGATGGCGCTTCCGAAATTGAGCAGGGATGGCTGCGGGAAGAATGGTTGTGGGTAAATTCAAGGGACCTCACCCCGACTAAAGAATGGTTGTTTATTATATTTATTATTATTATTGTTATTATCAAGATCATAATTTTTATTTGTTTGTTATTTGTATATATACATATAGCATATGTTTGGGCAATCTCAAAATTGAAAGCCTTTCCAGATGACGCATATCGATTGGCCAAGTCTCCGATTCGTCTGATGCTGCGCTCAGTGTTTATTGCTTTTAAGTCTCTAAGTGCTGAATTGTTTTTAAACATCTGCTTTCAGTCATTTCATAAAACCACCATATATTGATAGCATATGTGTTGTGTACTGAAACCCCTTTTGTGTTTAACAACAATGGCACCCAAATCCACACCTTGATAGGCCAACTTCACTCCGGGCTTAGCGCCTGAGATGCTCATGATGGATTGGCTGACTGGTGTGTAGCTGAACTACAACCCATGAAATATAGCCACTTACAAGATTGTATAACGTGCTATAAGATATTTACTGACCATGGATCGAAACTATCAGGATCATCCAAGTACTATTCCGTGCATGCAGGTCGAATTTGAGTGCCCCTGTTGTCCGTGTTCCCTTCAGTATAGTGGTGGTTTTCTTTCCGACTCCGGTCCCCTCCTGGTTGCTGACATCTTGAAGATGCGGGCACTGATCACCATTTTGTGTGGTTCATTTTGAAGTGTTGCAAGTTAGATGAATTTTGGGGGGGCAACTTGGCTAGATTTTGAAAGCACGATCCCTTACCCCCGAAGCGATTGACTTTCGGCTTGCGGATGGCAGGAAAAGTGGGTCGGCTGGGGCACAAAGCTTGTCCAATATCGCAAGGCTGGATGATCATTAAAGCGGTAAACGCAATGATAGGCCCACTTTTTGAACCATATTTGGGGGATTATAAACCTCAAGACTTGGGATTTCTGATTGGGTTTACCACCTGACTCTGAGGGCCTAAAGTGGGTTCAACCTGAAACTTGAAAAAGTTGGACGTGGTGGTCAGGCAGACAGATACACACTTTAAACAGCAGCCGCACTGATTGACTGGTCATGTATCAAATGTGACCATTATCACTACATGTCAGTGACATCAAACATGACTAAGTGGAAAATCTTCGAACTAAATGGAGGTTTATAGCTGGGAAAATCACCAAACTAAATGGAACCGGGTTCTTAATTGCCACGTTTGATTACCAGACCCCAAGGTTTGACCCATCAATTGTTGGATCTACTCCCCTTGTCGTTGGTTACTTGAGTTGTTTGCTTGGATAGTTCAGAACAACAGTAGTTAGTAGTTGGTTAGTATGACCTGGAATGTGTTTATTATGATGCAAAATTAAGAGCTCTAAAATCCCAAATTTTCAAATCTTAGCGCTGGATGATGGAAGAGTGGCACTCGATTTGAAGCACACCATGATGGGACAACTCTAGTTACCACCAGATTGGTGTTACACAAATGATCAGAATTATGGACTACTGTAAGAAGGATGTAGGCAGAGCAATCAACCCATTTATAACCGGCATTTATTGATATTCCTTCTTGCTTTAATCAGAATGATTTGCCAGTTGAAAAAAGAAACACGCTTCTCTCCACAGTCATATGTGACATTTTTTCAGGGTTCAGCATCACTCGAGATCGCTACATGTAACATGTAATTGCATAAGTTTCTCGTAATATACAGCCTGAGCGCTGGTTAAGAATCCGAAAGCTTGAGGTCCAGGGTCCCTCAAATTCTTATTTTTAAATGCAGGCAAATTTACACCACAACAGACCGAGGGTCCCTCAAATTCTTAGGGCATTCTTAGTTACGTATTGCATGCATCTGCACAAGTTGGAGCAAGCTTAAACGAGGTAACAAGTTGCAGTTGGCAGATTTGACAAGAGGCATGCGAAAAAAACGATTTTTTAGAGCCTGAAAAATTGATTTTTGCAAAGCCGGGCTTGTCTGAGTTTCATGAGAGCAGTACGGAAAAAAAACAATTTTTTAGAGCCTGATTTTTTTTTTGCAAAGCCATGCTTGTGCTTGTATGATTTTTTTGAGGTTAGTGCGCAGAAAACCATTTTTTGGAGCCTGATTTTTTTTTGCAAAGCCGAGCTTCTCTGAGTTTCATCAGAGCAGTGTGGTAAAAACAATTTTTTAGAGCCTGAAAAGTTGTTTTTTGCAAAGCCATGCTTGTATGAATTTTTTGAGGTTAGTGCGCAAAAAACAATTTTTTGGAGCCTGAAAAATGTTTTTTTGCAAAGCCGAGCTTCTCTGAGTTTCATGAGAGCAGTGTGGAAAAAACAATTTTTCGGAGCTTGAAAAATTGTTTTTCTGCAGAGCCCTGTTTGTGGCTAACTTTCTTGGCTATTCTAGCTATTGTTGTTGTTGTTGTTGTTGAGGCCCTTATTTTTCGGAAAGTGTTCAAAGACTGCCTAGCTCAGTCGGCAGCGCGGTGGGCTTCGGCGTCCAGGTCGCGGGCCCGATTCCCGGCGCAGCGCTTTTCGCCGAGGTATTGCGTAAACAATACTCCAGGTCCGATTGTGAGCAGTCCAAGCATGCGCGAAAAAAAACATCCGAGCTTGAAAAATCGATTTTCTGCAAAGCGTCCGTTTTCTTCAAGCTATTGAGGAAAACAATGTTTCAGGTCCCCAGACCTATCCACATATGGATTTTGGGTGGAACGGAAGCAGTCCAAACATGCGCGAAAAAACAATTTTTCGGAGCCTGAAAAATTGTTTTTCTGCAAAGCCCAATTTCATCCCGTAAGACAATATATAAGGGGCCACGCCAAAAAAATGAACTGCAAAGGGGAATTGCAAACCTCGCGTATAAACAGTAATTTAAGAATTTGGCAATCCTATTCCAGTGTCCCTCAAATTCTTAAAGTACTATGTGTTTGGTATACTTGAAAATATGTAGCCCGCCTTGGATTCGAGCCCCTCAAATTCTTATACAGTGAATTCTTGTACAATACTCAAGCTGTAGCTATAAGTTAGTTAGTTATATTTATATACAATGACTGTATATGTATATATATATACATATATATATACACAAACAAGCAATGGACCATAAATGCATATATAGATACTGCCGCAACGAAGCTCGTGAGTGAATCCATGTGAATCACTTTGAAAGGCCCATTAAGATCATTAAGATCATTAATGATCCTTATGTCTTTGCCATAAAATCCAACAGTTCACCTACTGCAACAATACCCAGAAAAGCCGATTTAGCTCTCATTTTTTTATATGTGTGTCGACTCATACCAAGTACAAATAAAATCCCAATAATTGCGCTACTTAAATTCCAATGTTTGGTGTTTTCGATTAAATCCCATTAAAGCCGCATTTTTAGATGTTTCAGCCCCACACAATTTTCCGGTGGGTTTTAGATGGTTATGGTCCATGAAATCCTATTAAATCCCAGTACGTCCCCATTTTTGGATGGTTATGATCCATGAAGCCCGCTAGAATTCCCGTTTTTTTATACGTTTGTTGGTTCACTCAGCTTTTCACCGCGTGTGAGGCGCTACGACTGGGCTTGGCCAAGGGTCAAATTGCAGGGACCGCCCAGGAGCCGGAGGTAAGCGTGGGAAGGACGCCTGTAGGTAAATTATATGTGGGAAAAGTCTTGTTTATATAGATATAAATCTTATATTTCCACATTATGTAAATATATTTCATACACATATAGATATTGTGTTTGTGTGTTCACTAGCTGTTTGGTTTGAATCATGTCTTGAACGATTTGATCAGTTCTTGTTTGAGGATGGACCCAATGGACGGGCCTTGTCTTAGTCTCTCGGATCGTTGAACCATGCTGAACCATCCACTTGTTGGATGCTGTTGGTTTGTCAATCCACCAATTTGGTTAATTTGAATAATGAACCATGGTTCAACAATCCAATTTGAACCATCCACCATCTCAGTTTGGTTAATTTGAATCCGCCTTGCTTGTTAAGCATGCCAAAAAGATCAAAAAAGTCCCATGATTTGTTGGCAAGAACCATCCAGCCATGGTGAGATAGCTTCCCAAGTTCCAGGTTTTGGCCATGGTCTGGCCATGACCGTGACTATGAAACGAAGTGAATCGGAAGTCCCGTGAGTGGTGACCTGCCAAAAGGAAGGAAAAACATGGAAGAAACCAACTGTTTGTTTTCCATCTAATTAAGTTTCTTGGCTTCTCTTGGTATGGCGGCCCTGAGGCAGCGAGCGACCCGGTTCTCTTGATCGACGGCTGGGATTGCGGGGGCCTTCCCAGATGGGACAAAAAGCAGGGTATTCAAAAACGATGGATTTAGCCCAAAATATAATCAATATTGTATAATAAATTTGGGTATATAAGGGGATACATCATCAGCAACATTCATGTTGTTTGGGTGAGAAAATGGGTATACTCCCAATTTATGGGATGACAACCTATTTTCAGACAAACCCGCATGGAGCATGATGGGGGTTATGCTCATAGTGGCTGATTTTGGGGTATCCCCGTTGTTGAAATCAATATACTATATTAGAATAGAAAACATAAATCGTAGAGGTAATAGTCGCATCAGTAAGAACGTGTTAATGGTGATGATAATGATAGTAATTATAGATAGAAAGATACATGCATGCATGTATGATATATCATTGTATCTTGTATGCATATGATGCGTTCTGCATTTGTCACAACTATCTATCGGACTCATGTTTCAAACTTGGGGGTAGAAGTGAAAAGTAATAGGGGCTACAACAAAAGTTTTACAACATACTTTTTCCGGCACACATTTTGAGCTGTGGGAAGATGTCACACACACATAGCGTTTATGATTAATTATCATCATGTCTGCTGATTGTATGCGGCCCATTGTTGCGCAATCTTTTGCACATTTCACCCTATTCCAAAGTTACTGTTGCCTATTCTCAGTCTCCAGCATCAATGAAACATTCCAGTTCGGTTGGATGCAATGTTGATATGCTGGGTTTGTCTGAGAATAGAGGACCCCCCCCCCACAAACAAGAAAGAAAATATGGTTTATCAGCAGTTTCCTATATCGTTAAAGGACCATGATTTTTTTTGTTCAATACTTTACTTTTTTATGTTTTTGTAAAATTGCTTTACTTCGAGTGATCCCTACCATGAAATTTCAAGACATATATTTTGACACATATTCGGACATTTTTCCTAACATTCTATCTGACATCCATTCAAGAAGAAAGTTGCAAGAAAGCAACCTGATATTAGGCAATGTCTTATGACAGCCTGTCTGGCATATGTATCATATCAAGTATCTTAGGGTTGAAATGCAGTTGCCAAGCGACATCAACAAGAAAGCAAGCTGATATATGCCAAAACTTATTATGACAGTCTATGCGGCGTATGTATCTGGCATATCTTCTGACATTCTTTCTGGCATCCTATCTGATATATCTTCACAGCTTCTTTGTGGCCGAGGTCCGGCTAGGATCACTTTCATCCAGCAGTTGCTGTTCAGGTCTGGCGGGGACCACTGCGATCGCGCGCTTGCAGTTGAGGTCCGGCGGGGACCACTCTGATCCGGGGCTTGCTGTTCGGGTCCATCGGGGACCACTCCGATCACGAGCTTGGCAGTTGAGGTCCGGCGGGGAACACTCTGATCTTGGGGTTGCTGTTCGGGTCCGGCGGGGACCACTGCGATCACGAGCTTGCAGTTGAGGTCGGCGGAGGAGGAGAAGAAGGAGGAGGGCAGCTTACATAAAATCTAACAACCCTCCTGACAGGTGGTTTCTTTTTCAATCCTATTGATCCAAACAGCTTCTCGAGTTGGAAGGCCCAAAAAACGCAAACCAGTCAACATATTATCTAATTCAGATTCATCAGTTGCAAGGTGCTGCGGATCTGTTGGCAATCCCATGCGCGACCATGCTGTTGCGGATCTGTTGGCAATCCCATGCGCGACCATGCCACATGAATGCAAACATGTGCCCACCCACGCACGCATATCCACATAATATGTGTCAAGATTTTTGGCCAGAACCTATTCTCCTGAGCGGTCAAGTTTGTTTCTTGGTGTATCCCCATTTCCTTTTGCTGTTATGTATTCATGGCAACTGCAGTTGTTGGCGATGTTACCACGCTATGTTCCACAACTGTATAATTCGATCGGGTTTCTGACCAAGAACATGGGGCACTATCAACCAAAATTGTCCAAGAACCTGAATCTTATCCCCAAGATATGTGTATATATTTTACATACATCAAAGTCGATCTAAAGGTTCATGGTGGGATGTTTATTACAAAGGCCGCCGGTGTTACAACATGGGACCTCGCGAAAGTTTTTTCCTGAGTTCGCGAAAGTAAACGTTTTTTGGCGAATGATTTGACGAAATTCCATGTATGGATGAGGTGTCGCACCATATTTTTTTACCTTCTGAATTGTGAATGGCAGGGATACACTAGACTTAAAGTACTTGCAATGAAGTGGAGCTCCACTCGCAAGCACGATTCAGGGTGTGGATGTCTTGGTTGATTTGCAAAAGATTTTTCGCGAGAGTGTTCCGCGAAAGCAGTGGCGAAAGAGAAGGTGCCCATCCAAGCCCATAGCCCAAGCAGCAGCCCAACACCTTTGCAGCGTCAAGGGAACCTGTCAAGCTGAAATTTTATTGTTTCCTGGTGAAATTATCCCAATATGGCCTTCTATTTGCCTTTGGCTGTCTCCCAGATCACTCGCACAGTTGCTGTTTACATTCAGTTTGAGAGCGTCTAAGCAGCACAAAGATGGAGAACCATAACCTCGCGAAAGAAAACATGGTGTTGAGAAAAATTCGCGGAAGTTGTTTTTCGCGAAGAACGGCCGTTTGCAGATGAACGAATTTAGATCAACCACCACATCTACCATCATCGTCGTCGTCATCATCATCATCATCAACATCATCATCATCATCACCATCATCATCATCATCATCAGCATCCTATTCATCATCCTAATCATTGTTCCATGACTTGTTTACACCCGATTATCGACCTCAGCCATCTGAAATTGACATTTGAGGTGTCTTGGTGGGCCCTGCATCAGAGTCTGGGAGCCCCAATGGCTGGTGGTTTGAAACCCCGTTTGGGATGATGAACCAATTTGACCACCACAGGAGCGATAATGGGTTTGATGGTTTTTGTTTGGCACTTCAGGGCCATTGACGTGAATTTCAGCTGTTGAAGTTTCCCGGCGTAGGTTTCATGCAAGTTCTTATGTTGCACATCTGCACAAAAACTGTGTTGAATTAACTTCAGTTTTTTGCTGTCGTTGCCATTAGATACAGCAGGTTGAAAGTTTCGTTCGATGATGGCAACGGTTATTTCTTGAATCAAGTTGGGCATTGCAATTCTTACTTATTCTTAGTTATCAGACTGACCGACCGTGGTTCCCTTCGCAAAATCAACCGGTGTGATGGATCATGCTCAGCATGTTGTTAAATGCCAGCATAGTTTTTCATGTTTTTTCAATACGAGTCTTGTCGTGATGTGAAAGGCCACTTTAATTTTTCAGTGTTGGTAGCAGCTTGGATATTCGTTGTTTCTAACAATTTCTATATAGCCGCTTTCGCACGTGTACCCTACAAGTTCATCACGAACAGGTTTTCGTGCCATGGTTTTCTTGTAGCATATGGCCTGAAACCAGAATTTGGTGTGCTGACTGGTCAACATGCCACCCCAATTAATACGCCTTGTTCCTGTGTATTTCACCCCCAACGTGTTTTTTTGGTCCATTATTCTCGATATTCGCCAAGTGCTTGGTAGAATTGGGGTGTTTCACCTTGGGTGGCTTGGGTTCATTTGATACGTGCTTTGCTAAGTCGGTGATTATTTGTCATTTTCTGGTTGATCAATCCACCAACAAGAGAAGATCCAAGACCACTGGATGTTGCACATCCTTCTGTGACTCCTGTGGTACCTGATGGGTCCTTGTACGTTTCCATTTCTGGGGGTCAAGCATCATCACTTGGGTCCTTAGATTCCAGACCTATTGGTTGATCATGATTTATCCCTCCAAAACTGCTTGGAATTTCCAAGGGTCTTAAATTATGTTCAACCTTATTTGAGATGATGATCCCCAGAAAAGTTGATGTTTACTAAAGTTTCGTCAGGGGAAACGCAGGTCGTCTCCGCTGCCGTGAGGTTCATCGAGAAGCTCTCCATGGCGCCCTTCACAGATGGTCCACAACCATGGTATGCAGGCACGCTGGACAGGGGGGGAGTCCCACTTCTCGGAGGGGATTGGTCAAGCCATTGAGTAATTACAAAAATCCATGGGTTATATTTAAAAAAAAGCCAAATTGTGTGCGTGTGTGTTCCTTAAGTGTGAACATGTGGATCATGAATTTTCCCATTTTATCTTGACACCTTGTGGCCCTTGACGGTGGTTTGTTTCTAGAATTGCATCCACATATGGGAAATGATGGGAACTGAAAACCATAGATTTGATCCCCAGGATCCAAGCCGACCCAGGACCCCCCAGGACCTTTCCCCGATCCAGAGGTGAGCGGATCTGCGGCCCTGACTTCTTTAAGGACAGCTGGTAAGGGTGGTAGACCAATGAAGAAACACATGTCTGTATAATTACATGTCCAAACAAGAAATAAAACCCATAGATACTCAATGAATAATACACATTTTTCTGAAGACGCGACCTGAGGATGCCCATAAACATCTGATGTCCATGACAAAAAACACATGTTCAGACAGCCTTCGCCGAAGGCGAACCGCATCGATGCGGTCTATCCGGACCCAGGGACTCCCTGGAGATATCCCAATGCAGGCAATGGCGGGACCCGGGGGTACCCAATAGCTGGATGGTCTACAATGGAGCATCCTATCGAAATGGATAATTTCGGGGGTACCCCCATTTTGGGAAACCCCGGAACCTGGATGAAAGTGGATGGATAGGTCCATTTCAATAGCAATTCGTAGAGGGGTTCACCCCTATAGCCAAAGAGGTTCTTGCACTGCCAACCATGAATAGGGATATAGACGATCAATTCATTAAAACTGTATTGACAATTTGAAATTTTGAATAATTCTGATTCTGAGTCCATATCCATAGGGCTGCTTGACCCCATTTGATTCATTTTCGGGATTGATGGCTTAACCACATTCCGTTGGAGAAATTCGGTGACCTCTGGGGTAAATATCCTCTGCAAATTTCACAGTTTGCTCTAGAAAATCACAATTTTTCATAGGTATAATGTGGTTAAAACACTAGTAAACCATCCCCCAAATCACCATAAATAGGTGGTATAAGCCATTCCCAAATGAGCAGCAGGTAGTTTATTATTGTTTTAACCACATTACTCGGTGTATCATCTTTAAAAGGGCCCTGTTCCATGGGGCCCTGAAACTTCCAAAGTCATGTTGACCCTTTGCCAGGCTGCATGACTGGCAGGGCAGGGGAGCCTAGCCCACTGAGGAGATCGATTGAAAGGAAAAATCTGCAGGAACCCATATATCTGGGCTACAAAGAATGGTTTCCTGTAGATATGTTCCCTTCAACCAATCCATTGAATTATGGAATTGTACTCCAAATTGACGTACCAACCAATTCTGGGAGAGGAGAATTCTGCCAGTGATTCACGCGATGGGCCAAGAGTAGTGAAGACGGTGAAGGGGACCAAAACATATTTATCAAGAATCGGAGAAATACTCTCTACAATCACCCACGCCACCAAAGGATCAAAGGGGTGTAAATAGAAAACATTTGAAAGCAACCATTCTGGGATGCTGGCAAGAGGTTTCAATCATATATGACGTTTGCATTTTGATCAGGGACAACATCAGACTGCCCCAATTGACCAGTGTGTTCTTCGAATGGACACCAACAGTGCCAACCAACGCGGCATGAATATATTATACACAGTGCATGATCAGTTTGTACATCATCATACATGAGCAAACTAAGATTGCTATGGAAATCCATGGGTTGCTCTCGGACAATTGTCCACAAATGGTGGTTTTCGATAGCTATGTTAAATTACCACTGGGTAATCATTAAACGCCAACTGTTGGAGATCGGTACTGTGTGGCATTTGATATACCAAATAGTGATATAACAAGTAATGATAATGTGTGTAAAACAATAATAAACCACCCATTTGGGAATGTCTTTTACCACCTCTATTTTTGGTGATTTTGGGGGATGGTTTATTATTGTTTTACCCACATTATACCAAAAGTTTGGTATTTGCCAAGTGTTGGTGATATCAGTTGGCCAGTTGTTTCCTTGAACCCAGGCGGAGCCTGTCCTGAAGCTCATTGAAGATTTGCTGGATGGCGCAGGTGCAAAACGCGAAGCATGAAGATGTAACCTTTAGCCAACAAATATACGGGTATACACAATCAATGATTATAAATTTCAATCAACAAAATTGAAAATTCACGATTTCGCAACGAATCCAGGAAAATCACTTAAGATATCAAGAAATACGCAATTCACAACACATATGGGAAAGCGCTTGGGTATTCCATCACCTCAATTTCTTGGCGTCCAGACCCTGGGGGTGAAACCAGCAACGGGCTGGTGCAAACACCACAAGGCGGTTTGGGCTTCCGACAAGTGTTACATAATAGGTGAATATGGTTGAATACCAACCACGCGCCATTGCGGCTGCTGAGTTAGGCCCGGGGCCATGGTGGATCCCTAGGTGATGGCGACACATTTCCGGAAGACGGCGATGATCAGGCCATTGCCGACGCCGTGCCATCTGCACCATGACCATGGCCTCTGAGGAAAATAACACGAGCACAGCCACCAGCATCAGCATGGGCAGAGTCATAATCACCATGTAATACACAACAATACTCATAATAATTACACCATAATTGAAGTCATAATCATGAGTATACCATAATCAAAATCATGATCGTAAGTAATGTTCATCATAATCATCATAATCATCATCATCATCACCATCATCATCCTAATCCTCATCCTAATCCTGATCGGCGTCATCATCGTCATCCTCATCCTCATCCTCATCGTCGTCGTTGTCGTCGTCGTCGTCGTCGTCGTCCTCATCATCATCATCATCATCATCATCATCATCATCATCATCATCATCATCATCATCATCATCATCCCCATCATCATCATCATCATCATCATCCCCATTGTCATCATTGTCAACAGCATCGTCGTCAGTATGGTGGTGCTTTGTACCATTGAGTCGATACAGATGACAGGGGCCATGGTGGGGATCAACTTGGTCCCCAGTTGGAACTGATACGTTGGCACAAATCAAAAAGGAACAGCTACTGTGAACCCAAGGAAAACTACCCACAACGTCCCACAACCACCAAGAACCAACGGGCGCAACATTGAAGAATTCGCAAACAGTGTCGATGATGTGTGTGTGTGTGGTTTCCATGCATACAATATACATCAATATACATGTATAGACGTGTTATGTACATATAGTATTACATATATAGATGATTATAGATGTATATTACATAGTGTTTGCAGAGAAGAACTTGGATGTTCACATCTTACAAAAACAGACCCCAAAGCCTGGGGTTTTCTCGTCCCGTCATGATGCCAGGGTCGACTCCATGAGCATCTCTTAGAGCTGGGTGAGAAGCTGAGTTGCGAAATCGCAGCGATGGTGAGGAGATGGGGGTTCTTCAAATGGGGGGGTACCCACAAATCATGAGGGTTTAGTGAGATAAAGGATATATCGTATATTACTGTACATAAAATATAATAGAATAAGATAAATCAACATAATATGATTTAATATGCTTTGACCACGTCTACATCAAATAGTGGGATCGTATTTATAGATGATTTCATTTCTGAGAGAGGTATCATATTCGTTCTTTCCATGTCCATTGATGTTAACTCTGTCCCCACCAACCACGAGACCTCCCTGACTCCCTGACGCCAGGTGAGAATGGCCAAGAGATGGGTCCTCAGTGGGAGCGATGCCACTGGGAGTGTCACAAGTTGGGAGTGCCTCTCAGACATGGTGATTTATCCTCCTGTAAACTAACATAGATGTGGAACATCCCAGCATTTGTGGATCATTTTCTTACGGAATGTTTTGTTTTTCACATCTATGTTAGTTTGCCCTGCGATAAGCATCAAAAATTGAGATTTGACAGAGAATTGGTGACTGTGGTGATTCAGCCTCCAGAACATAGGGGAAATATGGAAATGATGGACCATCACTTTGGGATGGACATCGTTTTCCAGAACAGACAGGGGGTTCCAACCATGGCCATTTGAAACCCACGGCTCAAAGACACCTGTGATCCCTGCAAAGTCTACTCAAACAGTTTTATCTACCCTCCGATAGCTTCACATAGTTAGTTATGGAACATGGCCCATTTATAGATGATTTTCCTATTAGTGGTGATTTTCCATAGCTGTGTTAAACTACCAGAGGCTAATTCCCTTGTTGTACTATCCTCAACACGAAACCTCACCATACTGTGGATGGAAGAAATCCTGCAACAGTTGGGACCTATTGGGTTTCCTATGAAACACTGGGACAATAGTGGGATTATAATCGGACAAACTGCTCATCTACCAACGGGTTTTCAGGATTTCGCCACCATACCTCAAGTATCTCACCGTTTTTCTCACCCTTCATGCCATCGAGGCTGCCATACTTCGTTGATTCAGCGTGTCGCATTTTTCAGTGTCTCTACGAAGCAGAGCCTCAGTCACTCAGCGATTCATGGAGCTGGAATGAATATCGAATGTGGGAGCTGGCATCAGTCGTAGTGGTGAGTGAGAAATGAAGGATTTACTAGCTACAACCATTAAATTGTTTATTGGTATTGAAGATTTACTACTAGTATATATGATTCTTATCAATATTATTATTCTACACATGACTATCTATTTACTTCTGCAAGCTGAGTGGAACCGTCCCACAATAATCTATCCGGTGGTGAAGCGGGGAGCTGAGCCATGATTGTATCCATATTCCCTATTAAATGGGGAGCCACTTGGAAGAGTTTTCCAAGCGCATGATAGTGATAAATGCAAGCTTCTGAATCTGTGAAAGTCAGCACCAGCAAGCCGTGATCTTGATTTTGTTTTTTTGCCATGAATGAAGATGATTGAAAAGTCCTTTCTGGACACATTATAATCATGCACTGAGTGTTTTTTGAGGTTAAATGGATGTTTTTCGTTTTTGTCCCACCAAGAGTGAAACTATGTACCAAGTACAACATGGACAGAAGTGATTTACCAAAAATGTTTTTTAATACCCCTCCAGATGTATGGGAGCAGCAAACGTGCCAATCTGCGAACAACAACTTGCTTTAGTAACCTAACTATAGTTAGTTCATCACCAATTTACCCAACAGTTAGGCCGCGATTCCGACCTGGGGGCACCACCTTGTAACGAAGCATGGCACCAGGTGGCACCTCGAATCTCCATCTCCAACGGAGCTCCTGCCGCGCTTGCGAAATCTGCAGACCGGGCAGCGTCCGTCTGGGGGACCCAGCCCGTTTCGGAACGGGGGTCATGGGAAATCCCTGGTGGTCAGTGATTCTGTTTGGGGTTACAGTATACTATCTGGTTCAATCGGGATTAGTATGTGTTTATGTACGTGTATATGATGCACTATTGATGCTATCATTATGTGTATATATATATATAATTATATATATAATTATATATTTATATAATGTTATATACTATTACTATTGCTATTACTGTTTATAAGTGTTTCTCAAGGTGGGAGTTTATCAACAGATGAGTCGAACAGAGGAGGACAGAAGATTTTGGGCACTACTTGGCAACCTTTGTGACAACAGGACCTGAAACCTTTTTCTATGGACAGTCAGAGATCTTTAATCTGGGAGGATATCATCTAGGAATCCACAGTATTCTTCTTCGTGTGGGTATGAATGACTAAGAGTTCCAGCAGGCATATTTGCCCATGAGCTGGATGAGCTGGAAAACACCAGTACCAGCAGATTGGGATGAAAATCATCATGCCTGAGGAGATGGCGGAAAAAGGATGTCTAGTGGTAGTGCTTTGTCAGAACATGAGATATGAAGAGATTGCATAAGTTCAGATTCAGATTCATATCATATATTTGCATATGTTTGCACTAAAACATGATATGATTTATATACTCTTTTCTGAAGAACTGGATTTTGGCCGTGGACTATGGACCTATGGACTGTCGCCTCGGGCAGTGCCCGAGCAGCTGAGGATTGTGTTGCATGGCAATGGCCATACCGGACGCTGGTTCATGCCTAAACCTCAGTGGACACACTTAAAGGAAGAGCTTGAGTAAGAAGCAAAATAAAAAGATAGGAAAGTACTGGAATTGACGGTTCTATCTTCAGTGGAGGCTGCTATTTGTTTCCCAATATTGTTTTAAACGATTACTGACAGCTATTTGGATGTGATATGTTCCTCATCCTGTCCTTGCCTGCTTGTAATGGGGTAAACCCAATAAACCATCCCCAATATGGCCATAAATGGGTTGTGGAAACCATCCAAAATGGGAGGTTTATTGGGGTGACGACATGATCCACTTCTATGAACATGTTCTACTCCTGCTATAGATGTACTGCAGAGGTGCAACCTCTGGAGAGAAATGGACTTCTTGCGAAGGGCCAGGATCCCAAGCTTGTCAGGATCGGGTCTCAATCCTTCCTGGTGTTTTGAGTTGCTGACTAGTTATTGGTCACATACCAGCGTTGCTTGTTCGAAAGCCTGTTGTACTGTATACTGTAGTTATATAGCTGTTGTCTGTATGTTTGACTATTCCTTGTTTGCCATCATGCTTGCACAACTAGAGAATACAAAGTTAGAACCACAGGAATACCCCCACTACATAAGCGCGTTTTTCATCATCCATGCATCCAATCCTACCCTGCTGTTGTCGACAGCTCCTGGGAGAATTTGGGGCTAGGACTTAGGAAAACTAGCCTGGGACGACCGGGTATAACATGGTACAACTATGACTTACTATAGGTTTGTCCGAACAGATGGTACCCCAAAATCTACTTTAAAACTATTTGTGTTCTCATGTTTTTACATCATTTTCCCATGAAAACTTTTCTTGCAGCGTATTCCCGATGTTCAGACAAAGGAGAACTTATCCTGCTCAATAGTGGTGAGTTAAAACTTGTCTAAATCTTTTTGGGGGTTCCTCAGTAACTTGTCATATCATATTCTTGGACATGATGATACGTAATATACTAATATAATATATATGTATATAATATTATATAATCATATAAATATATTTATATAGTCTAGTCTCCCGTGTGGTGATCCCTGCTCATACATTACATATGTATCGAACTATATCCCATTCAATCCCCATAGAATTCCAGCGAAACCGCATGGAAAACCATTTGCAGATCATTTTCCTAAGGGAAATCATTGGTTTTCCACATCTTTTGGTATGTTTACCCCAGGGTGATCACCGTAAAATGCCCATGAAATCACCGGGCCGCCAGGTGGGCCTGACTCCATCCGAGCTGGCGCACTTGCCGCACGACGGACCGGTGGCACCGGGCACGGTGCCGGATGAGGACGGATCGATGTGTCGCTAATCGATGTCAATGGATAACTTACTGGTGCTAAACGCAGGGAATTTTCGGGGATCCATTGGCTCACTAGTAATGTCATCATCCCAGCAACCCCCAGCAACCCATCCAGCAACCCTACGCTTAGCACCAGTAAGATGAGTTGGAGATCAATTATGATATGAATGAGATATGAATGAGATATGAATGAGATATGAATGAGATATGAATGAGATATGAATGAGATATGAATGGGATATGAATGGGATATTGATGTGAATTGGATATGTGTCATACTTAAGTTACAGGGTCGATTTCCAAGGAGATTGTCCCGCATTCATCGGGGCTAATATACTCATTCATCTGTGGAATATAGCCAACCCTTTGTGGTTTGTCAAACGTGAGCATCTCCAAATCCGCCAGTCCATTCATTCACATCAGTAGGGGAACCAATTCTTTGCCATGTTTGACCCTAGACTTGGTGTGAAACGCTGTCCCCAGATATGTGGTCAGAGCTCAAAAATGCGAGGCCAATGGACTCATAAAATTGATCATGTTCAATATTCATCAATATTCAACCATCAAAGTTTGGGGGGCCAACCATTTTAAGCCACAGCCACACTGCCTGTTTGTATCCATCCCACCATATCTCAGCATATATTTGTTTGTGGTCTCCCTGTCTTATATATCCTCTTCAAAAAACAGTACTGTTAAGTTTTGACCCCAGGCGTGCGGTCTTGGCTCGCTCCACCTTCCAAGAGAGGGAGACAACCAGATGACAGTGAAAGCAGATTCCGGGGAATTCAAGATGGACTAGACTTCCAAGCGACCAAATTCTGCCTGCTGAGCTTTGGTTTTTTGGCTCAGGCAGAAGGGGGTTAGTATGGATTCAGAAGCATTGACCCGCCTGATGACACAGTTTGAAGCATTTGACCCGCCAAAGAAAAATAAGAACAGATCCTAAGAAACATATAGCCGAGCGAAACAGAACATACAGGGCCAATGAGTACCAGAAGATAACAGAAGCTCACTCATTCTGACACTGAGAGGCGGAACTCCTGAGAGGCGGTTCTAACAGATGCAGAACTAGGTAGGCACTGCACCATTTGCTGCGTCAGAATGTTCCAAAGGGGCCGCCCAGACAGGTATGCCCCAACAGGTCCGGACCTACATAATTCATCATAATTCTGTATCACGAACAGCCAGGCATACCCATACCTCTACCCAATTTACCCAAGTTAGAGGGCACAAACCCTTTGAACACCGGCAATTTGCCCTTGAAATTTGGTGAAGCAAACCCCGTTGATGGCGTGGCACTGAGTGTATCGGGAAGCCTACAATAAGCCCGTCCCGCCATGCCGATGAAAAAGCATGGAGACCCAGGGGATGGGCCATGGATGGTGGGATTGAACCGTGGTTCAGACCGGATCCAGGAATGAAATATGCAATTTAACATGGTACCATTTTCATCCTGACCACTCTAGATGGTTAGTAACCCTTCTTAGTAGCCCTGGGTAGTATCAAAGTGGGGCGACGGTTCTTGTCTCGCCTCCTACAGGATGTCAACTCGTAGGTGGGCCTGGGTACGGCTCAAAAAACCTAAAATGTGGATGGTTTGAGACTTAGCAACAAGCTGAAACCCGGTTGGCTCTTGTTTGAAATCGTCGTTTTCTATCACTCTTTACGCCACTTGACTGACATATGGAGGTTTCCTGAAATGGGGGTACCCCCAAATCATTCATTATATATGATAGGATTTTCCATGAAATAAACTATAAACCATCCATTGTGATCCATTTTGGGGTACCCCTCATTTTAGGAACCTCCATATATTGAGATGCATTCAAATCAGTAAGGTCAGTGCAGGACTACAACATGTGCCATCGCATCATGGAGCCATGTCCAATTGAGGAACTGACCATATGCTGGATTATGACCCTATACTCACGGATTGGCCTAAGAAGATAGAACATATGGTATATACCTTATATACCTAATATTAAGTATATGGTTGTATAATATAGCAAAATATAGCAATTACATATCCACATCCATATCCACTTTCCAGAGGATTGTGTATCGCAGTCGCTATCAATATGTTAGGCCATGATGGGACGGATGACCATACCCCATCAATCCCATATTGACCATGGCATATATATATAATATATATTTATATATACATCTCTCTCTCTCTCTCGTTGTTGATATATCCCATTATATCCCCACTATATCTCCAGAAAATGCTATTTTTATACTATGTTTACAGTTTACACAATATGATACACCCATGTGTGTTGGTTAACTCCACTATTTCTCATGTGATACAGCCAGGTTTCGGATGACGAATACCGAGCTGAAACTCAAGAGAGAGCGCACCTGGGATGTCTGGTGATTTGTTGATGTTAGTTGATATGAATGTGGGTAAAACAATGATAAACCATCCCCCAGTCACCAGAAATAGGTGGTATGGTTACCATTCCCAGTCATGGGTGGTTTATAACATTGTTTTACCCACATAAAACTTGATATTAGTATATATTAGTTGATTGCGGACAATGTAATGTTTGGAATTACTAGTTCTGATGTGACTTGTTTCATGGGATTATGATCCTGGGAATCCTGGCCTTTAAAGATGTTCGTAATCCATGGGGATCCCCATATTTTGAGGATCCATGGGTACCCAATTTTGGCCCACACCGATATCCAGTGTGGAAAAAGGTCACTGTTCTCCTGCTGCAAGGGAGGGAACTTGGAGTAGTAAAACTTTTTCGGCCAATGGTTTCCCTTCATGTGTAGCCTTCGCGGAGTTTGAAAGCACCGTAAATAAAGTGTTAGAGTAATTTAATATACAATTTTATAGTTTCTAGATGTATTTAGTTATCTAATGTATACATCTAGATCTAATATATTCAATATCTAAAATCTAATGTTATATAGCCAACAAAAGCTGGGTTATGTTGAATGCCATCCATTTTTTCTCATCCCATCGGCTCAGCTCAGGGATGATGGAAGCCTTCCGAGCCGGCAAGAGCGCCTTGGAGGTCGGGTTGTCTGAAAATCTGTTGAATCCAATGGAAAAGTGGCTGTTTTAGTACAATTAATTAATGAAGTTCATGGGAACAGGATGGAAAAGGATGATTAAGCCGCGGATGGAATGGGCTACCAGCTACTTTAGTTGTCAGACCCAAAAATGTCACAATCAGATGGACATGTTTGTTGCGAATTATCCCAGAATATCCCAACAATACACCATAGGCGCCCTTCTTTGTCGCGAATGGTGTAACCCAAGTTGCAGTGGGATACTATGACTCGTATGACATAGTCTGACCAGGATAGCTGGTGAGGCACCCGCCATGAGAGTCCGACATCCCATAGGACTTGCGTCTGCCATACTTCTTGGCCTACGGTTCTGCGATGGCAGCGCTGAGGGAGGGTCAGTTTCAGCCGTACCTCGATTGGAGGAAAAATTGGGGGGATGAGATGGGTCAACTCCAACGAAAATGTCTGAAATGGATCACAATGGCTGGTTCATTAAGTTTTAAGCCCTACTCAAATTTGCCAATTTGCCATTTGTACGACTTTCATTAGACATACTAGAAAGACATCGAGTGGGGCGCCATTGGGCGCCACTGGGATGAGGTACGAGGATGACATCCACGTGGGCATTTACGCCTGGGATTTGGCTTCACTGCAGCGACAATGCACCGAGTGTCCCTCGCAGATCTTGGAGCAAAAACGCCATGGTAGGGATGATTTCTGCATACCCAAGTTAATGGATCTCTGTTCGTTTTCCATGAAATTATTGAATCATTTATAATCCAATAAACATGGTCTGACATCATACGTACAACTTGATCATCTCTGTGGCAAATCGTCTTCCAAGGTTTCTCCGACAAGTCCCATTTCTTGTTGGGTGTTGCTTATGAGCGTTTCAACAATCACAGAATCCAACTTTGGATGTTCCCCAAGGTTGTAGCTATGATTTGTACGTGGAACGTGACTGGATCCGAACTGATTCTCCTGGGCCTGGTGGAAAATCTGGTGCTGAGGCACAGCCAAGGAACGTGACAACCTGCTGAAGAATACCTTTGACAGGTGCCAGTGACTAGCGAATACTAGTGACTGGAAACAGTGCAGAGGTCCATTTTGAGAAAGGACTGATCCAGCTGGTAAGAATGGATGAAAGAATGTTGTTTTTTTTCTTTTAATGATAAGGAGTCAATAAAACAGAAAGAACTGGCTGAAAGCTCAAGTTAAATAGTATAAGCTATGGTTGAGATCCAAAGTTTAATGTTGAAAATAGATGAACATGGATACCAGGAGAAAGAAGAATCGACGTTCCTCCTACCACACCGGATGTTTGAGTTGGGTTTTCCAGAGAACCATTCTGGGTGGAAGTCTTAAATTTAAATCTGTGGGAAGTTCCATGGATCAGGACCGATGTTGATAGATTTTCCAGGTGGCTTTTTTATGGGTCCCTTACATTAAGTTAACAGCTTTAGAAATCTGAAACCGATTCTTGTGAATCTCGATGTGATTCCATTCATGAAAGACAATATGGTTCAACATCGGGTACCCCAGAAATGGGGTTGTTGAATTACTAAGAGTAGGGTATCATACGGTATCAGCCAGTTCACCCGGATACCCTTCTGATCACCCAAAATAGCTGATTTGTTTGTTGTTCATCCCCCTCCATATATCCAAATATAATCCAAATATGGCATATTGAATTGTTTTGAATGGTTTTGATGCATCTTCACTACTGGAATTTGACCAGCTTAAACTTCTGACCCGAAGTCCCGAAAGGTTTGGCTTTGAACCTGTTCAAGAGATCGTGGAGAATGCTGTGCAGGTTGGGAAAGGAATCGGGTGGTCATTCTTCAATGTCAAGCAAGGTACTGCGATGTGTGTGTTCAATCAAGATCAAGATACAAATGAAATGCAAGTTACATTTGTACAACAACACTCACAATTACTGTAGTGATTACATGCAAAGGACTCTGATTCACAATTTCACGATGTTTCATAGAGTTTGTCATCATTTCTGGAAGATGATTTCAATTCAGTGGCGGTACCCTTTGATAGTTCAAGACTACTCTGGCAATTCATGTGTGCTCATTTATATAGTATAGATATAGACATAGATGAACTTCCGAGTAGGCATTGTACTAACATGTGCTAACCGAATGGGTTTGTGGAAAAAAAAGTCCATCAAGATTTCATGGTCTATCATTTTTATCATTGAAATCATTGGGAAAAAACAATGTTGGAGGTATATCAAACGGTATATCCCATGTTCAATTTTTCTCAGACACATCCAGATGAAAGAGTCTAGATCACGCCCAGGCAGCAGCAGGGCAGGAGGCCAAGCAGAACCAGGCTGGAATCCAACATGGCCCTGCTGAAGATTTACAGGGAAATGTCGGGAAATGTGCAAAATCCGGTGGCAACTTTTTGGGATACGGTATACCTTGTTTTCAGACACACCCATATCCTAAAATGGTAACTTAATACCATATACGAGGACACATCAGGGAAAAACATATATGGTAATCATACGTGGATGGCTGGAAAATCCGCCCGCACCGAAGGTTCCGAGGCGTTTTTTGTGTGCCTGCGTGAACCGTTAGCAATTGCATTATAGCTAATAAGCTTTAGCTTGGGGGAGACATTTTTGCTCTAGAATCCTGTGTTTTTGCATGTTTTTCAAAAGGGGTCAAAATTCTTGATCTGGGCCAATATAGGCCAAAAATGGGTCAAGATAGGCCCAACATAGGCCCAACATGAGCCTAAGATAGGCTCACATGGGGCCAACATAGCCTCAAATGGGGCCAACATACCCTCATATGGGGCCAAGATAGCCTTATACGGAGCTAAAAAGTGCCCAATAAGTGCTAAAAAAACGTTCAATATGGCCAAACATCCTGCAACATATGTGAGTGTTATTGACGGTAACACCAACTCCTTAGACTTCCCGAATCCATTACACTTGGTGCGGGCGGTTTTCGTCGCGAAGCGACCGTGAATATCTTACAATGGAATGTTTTCAATCAGAAAATATGCAATAAATCAATAAATGGTTATTTTCCATTGCCAGGTTACATTACCAGAGGTTACCGATTGGCGTGGCTCCAGAGCCTAAAGTAGCTTGAAAATCAGTGGATCGTATTGATAGTAGGATCCAATGCCGCGTGATGCAATAGCTTGTAGATTGGGGTTGGAAAATGGATGCAAAGGCCCTAGTTTATGATGGATCGCCATCCCAACCGGAGATATGGAATGGGGTCTTGTTGAACAAACATTGCCATGATCTTGATCCTGGACATCCATGTCATGGCTAAGTCGGCTAAAAATGCTATATAAGTGCTAGTAATGTGGCAAAAATTGTCAAGAATGATCAAAGTGTTTTCATCCCCTGAAGTGGATGGTTTCATACTAAAAGCATTATATAACCATGAGACCCCGATGGCTCGACCATATGATTCCCCACCCTTCGCAAGGTCAGACCCCGTGGGTACGGTACACGGTTTGCAGGCTGTGCTGGTTTGCCCGCGCTACTACATCGCAGAGGTGCTGAGGGACAAAAGAAAGTTTGGAATATATAAATGGGATATAGCAGGACATGAATTTTGAAAGGATAGAAGAGATTATGAATTTTGGAGAGACGATGAGCATTATGAGGTACGTCTATTTCATGATGCTCTTAATTATGTGGATGAATGTGGATGATATTTACCTCATAATGCTCATTTGTGATGTTCTCACTTTCCCTACGGGCACTTTTAATGCTCATGCAGGATGTGAGACAATGAAACGGATGGTGCAGTTCTCATGCCTAGACACTTGATAGATCTTGATAGACTCTTTAACCAAGCCTGTATCCATGTTTAATCCCATCCCCCAATTCATATTCAACCAGAAACCATGGTCCCACTATGTCCCAGTCATATGTGATGTCATCCCCTCCTTCCACCATGGTCACTTGTGAGGTGGATCTTGGTCCACATTAGTTGGGGGGATGGGATGATTACATATCATGTTTCCATTACCATTTGATGGTGATATTGTATGGTATACATATATATAATATAATATAATATCATATAATATCATATAATATAATATAATATAATATATATAATATATATATAATATAATATAGCATTATACAACTAACGTTTGCTGATGATATACATTTATATAATCATAAACATTATATATATAATATATATATAGCTATTGTTGGTTGGTGATTTTTGAGATCAAACATCAGGGCTGGTCTTCCGCAGGGCTGGTCTGATGAGATGGCCTTCCCCATCCTCTACAAATTTACGCATCGCGAGAGCTTCGTACGCTTCGATGTCATGGCCCCGCGGTCGGCACCTGGAAAACCCACCAAGCGGAGGTTGTATCCACAAGATTCCATACCAACCCAACCACCCTAGGATGTGTCAAAACTCTTCAAAATTGAACATCTGATATGAAATCTTCATTTCATGGATTTCGGGCCCCATGTTCAAAGCAGGAGTTCCCCCCAATAGCCACACTGCACACTTTTGACGTGTTTATCCTTACCCAATACGATGAACTTGTATCATTGATCATTATTCTATCTGATTTTCCTGGTGCCTGGTGCTATCGATTTTGTCACTGGCATAGGTGGGGCATAGATGGGAGGCAGATTGAAACCACCAGCCAAGGTTTTCGCTATGCAATTTGGTCAGCTCTGGGATTTCGCTGACGGTGGTGCTGAGACATCTTCAGGCACTGGGCTGACCGACTGCCCAATGTTTTTGTTGTAAGGAACACGGAGAAGTCAAGGTACAAGACGGATCAAAAGGGGAGAGGTTCCATGATTATTCTTAGACGGTAGCAATTATTGATGATACAATCCAAAGAAACTGCCATAATTTGGTATTCCAAAGTCATCTTCCACCTGCATTTTCTGGAGTGTTCATGTTTGATTTGGTGTAAACCCATGTTGGTGGTATGCCAGTGATTCCCAGATAGCTGGGGCCTGGGCAGACCCCGATTCGGGGAGCGATCTCACTGCAACTGGTGCCCAATGCAGGGTGGAATCTGCCCAAAAGAATGTGGATATATTTGTCCAATTATACTGTATATGAAGTAATGATACTAATTTTGGGATAATGATCGCAATAGTAATGGTATGTAATCAAAGTAATTTGCCCATTTCGGATAATACAGTGATCTCATGATGATAGTTGTGGCAATATATTGATGTTATTTCGTGGTTGTGAATTGCAGATAATTACAGTCATTTTTCCCAGGGGCAGTCCATTTCATGGAAATAAGCGAAACCTGTTTGAATTTTGTGACCATGAACAGTTGGATTTCGGAGCTGTACAACACTGCAACGATGGGCCCTTCCTATTTGTAAATGGGGCTCGAAGTATGTGCACTTCGAATAAAAAATCTATAGTCAACCTCACTTGTAGTGGTGATATCTGATATGTTGATATAGGTAGAGCATGGTAGAGCTATAACCCCATAGACAATCACATGGATACACGTAGGCACCCTTTTCAATGGCCCTTTTCAAGTTGCCGGGGGGCCATGGCGGCCATGGCGCAGGCTGGAGATATAGTTCCTTGCCTTGGTGATGACGGGATGGAGGATCTTATCTGGGGGGGCGCATCCAGATAGAATGTCCTCCATATGGAATATATATATATACATATATATATATATTGTGATTAATACATAAAAGATGATTTGCTATGTTTGGTCCTACACTCCGGTATTTTGATCTAGATGTGTGATGATGTCAATTCCGGATGAATAAACTACTGGGATGTTTATTTGGGTGGGTAAGATGTTAGTACATTTTAGTACCATATTATCATACTATCACTATTTGGGGGAACCCCCTAATCAATCAACCAGTGTTTATTGATCCGGAGTTGATATTATTCAATGACGAGAATTTTGGACATGGCCCAAAAAGTATTGACCCCAAAAAAATGCATGTCTCCATTAAATACCAGAAATGACCTATTCAGTGTGGGTCAGAGGAATCCCACCTTTGAGCCAAAGCCATGTGAGCGCTCATGTGTGTCTCATCAGCAGTGATGATGTGATTGTTTTGTTCTTGTGTGCTTTGATGATTTTATGACAACATGTATATTTCTGTTGTATGAAAATCAATTATACCATACAATATATGCATATACAATACATATATATATATACATATATACATACATACATACATATATATAAATATATATATATATACATTTACAAAATTATTCAATATACATATATATATATATATATACATGTATACATATTGCATAGTAATGTGTTTCTATATTTTGTTGTATCATGTTGTCACCCAGACTCCAGCTGCCATAGGTCCCTTCTCCCCTCAGCTGGTGGAGTTTGACAAGATCATGACCTACACCATGCCGGCGCAACCGTTGGAAGAACACTACGGGCCGGGCAGCCCGGGATTTTTGATCCTTTGTTGGTTGGGAATTGGAGGGAGACTGATTCACCAAATATATCCAAATGTTGTCTTTTAACATGTTGTTCTGGATTTTTACCATCAGGAAATGGGGATGAGTAAAAACCTATGAGGGTCATATATGGGAGGATGAGCATCCATGAATCACAGGCATTTTGATGTGAACAGAAGGGTATCAGGATTTTGACCCATACCCCCATACCCATACGGGCTTTAGTGGCTTTAACCACTAAGAATGCAGAAAATGGGTCACCAACCAGTGGCTTAACCATCGCTTAAAGATTTTTTGAGCATCCAAAAGATAGTGGGGCATTGGTACAATTGATAAATTGATAAATGATGATTGATCGGTTATTATTGTGGGTTATTGACCTACCTGGTTGGAGACAAGTATAGCACATTACAGTATATAAATGTGGATACATGCACCAAGAGGAGGTGCATGTTTCATGGCTAAAATTATACACATACACCTCAAGAGTTGGACCATATCCAGGATCCACCTGAATGTGTGGTGTACAAAGATTACAAACATCATGAAAAACGCACGTGTAGCTAATCATCATCTAATGTCAGGATTTTACCAGTGCAGTAAACATGCACATGTTTTTTCGGGAAAATGCTGCGGGAAACCCGTGATTTTCTGGGTGTAATCCGCATGAATCCATTGAGTCCATTCGAATGGCACCTGTTCGAGATGGCACCAGACGTTGATTTTGGTCGACCCATACCTTTTGCAGATACAGATGCATTTCAAGTTGCTGCGGTATTGTGTTTTGCCTGGGGCCTATGTTTTTTCAACTGTTATCAGACCAATACTCAAACTTTCGATTGGTTTGCTTGGATGCAGTTGGCACCACTCTTCCATCACACAAGGTTCAGTCCGGCCCATGTCGAGGCCGGAGTGGTACGCCCCCAAGGTCTACAATTACGTCCAAAGCTTGACGCGTTGCAAGAACCGATGTCAGGTTCTGAGGCGTGCGGGAAAAGGCAGACTGATTGCTTGAAACGGATTGGGGGATAATGGTGATCAACTATCAAATGCGGTTTTTCCATGGTTTTCCCTAAATTTCAGGATCACTTTCCGAATAAATCCTCAGCTTACTGCATGCAAAATCCAGGTGGTGGGTTTACCATTTCCAATCAGCTCCTGGAATTCGTATGTTCCGCCACCATGCTTGTTGACTTGAAAATAGATGCCATACTTCGTCCTTTGCTTATACATTCCATGCTATCACAATTTTTACAAAAGATGTTCCTCATTTCAGGATGGTTAAGCTAAACTAGGTGAAACCATGTTAAACCCACCAAGTATGCTTATAGTAACATGCTTTCAGGACGATTAAACCTGGTTATTCTATTGTACCCCCCAAAGTTCCCCAAAATTTACTGGTTACCCCCATGAAATCCGGCGTGTTTCCCTGCAAAAGCCCAGGGTGTTGCCCTTCGATCCACGGATGCGGCGCACAGAGCAGCCATCAGCACTGTCCTGGGAGGAGTTCCGGTGACCTGGTGAAAACAGAGACTGGGGAATCCCATGTACACATGTTTATATTCTTATCTATCAA